AGGAAAGTTTTCTGACATTATTTCTTGAAATACGTTTTCCATGTCTACCTCGGTTTTCTTTCCTTCCGGAACCCCTATCATTCGAATATTGTTTTGTTTTGCATTGTCCCAAAGCTCCTGTAGGCTCTCCTCCTGCTTTTTAATTTTTTTTTCTAGAAACTGCTCTAATTGGGTATTTTTTTCCATCTTGTCTTCTAGCTCACTGATGCGATCCTCTGCTTCTAGTCTGTTCTTGATGCTTTCTATTGAGTTCTTCATAGTAGCGATGTCATTTTTCATTTCATCTTGAGTCATCTTCATTTCCTCTTGGTTTTTTTTTCATTTCCTCTTGGGTCTTACTCATATTGTCAAATTTGTCTTCCATTCTTTTTAGCCATCTTAAGATCGTTACTCTGAATTCTTGCTCAGGTAGGTTGCTTGCCTCTAACTCATTTACTTCCTTTTCTGGTGATGCCTGCTTTTCTTTTATTTGTGGGCTGTTTCTTTGTCTCCCCATGGTCTCTCTTCAGGATGTCTCTGTCCTGTGTTGATTTATCTCTCCTTTCCGTGGATGATTGAAGATCTCCCTTGAATCCACGCATTTGCGCCAATTGGAGTGTCTCACCTGCTCGATGGTCTCCTCTGCGGTGGTTTTTCCAGGCCTCCTGTTCCAGTCTTACCAGCGTAAGGAGATCAGGCTCACAAGCTGGGAACTGTGGCGAGACAGGGACAAGCCGCCATCTTTCTGATCACCTGCATTAATTTTTAAAATAGCCCCCCTCAGTATGAATAGGAAGACAGCATTTGTGAAACGGGTCCATGCATACATGAGCACAGGCTAGAGGATATAGATACAGACAGCTAATTGCTAGGTGGATTGATACTCTATGATTGAGCTCAAGAGATAGTTCTTTCAGAATTCTTGCTTCAAAAGAATCTCAGTAGACATTCCAGAATGTAAGCTGCAGAGTGGCTCTAGCTGAAGGAAGTGAGCTCTCTTTCCCTGCCCACAATCTTCCCTGAATTTCAGGAATCTTAAAGCACACCCAGAACACTGCTAAATGCCCTGTTCAAAAGCTACACTCTCAATAGCTGTTGTTTGTTTGAACCTGTTTTCTAAACCTCTAATTATATTGGAGCTGCATAAATTCTCTTTCTCTCTTAGGTGAGGCAGATTTTAAAAAGTAGATCCTGAAGCTTTTTAAGAACAAAAAAATCCTAGTGATCCAGGAAGGAAGTGAGGTCTATTGAAAGTTATCTTACGGGGCATAAAGATAAAAAAGTTGTAGTTTTCTTTAGATGGGAGAGGAAGTGGAACACCTTCCGTACTCACAGGACTCCTGTTCTCATCCCTTCCTGTCCTTTATGCCTTCAGACTCTCGCTGGGTTTATCGCTCACACACCTGACTCCTTCATTGAACTGATTTTGTGCAGTGTCTCACCTTTTCGAGGACTAATGTGTCAACTAGGTAATTTACACCTTAATAATAATACACCATGCTGAACGTGCTTCCAGAGCTAATAGATATTGTTTCTACTTGGCCCTGTTTTGCTTGGTGGAATTTGCTTTCAGGTCAACAAATCCTTTTGTTTTAAATATTATCTTTCCCCTGATTATATAAATATTCCGCTTCATTTGTAGAAAAGTTTAAACATTGAGAAAACTCTGAAAAATAATACTAGAACTATAAGTTAAGAGTTACCTTTGCTAATGGCTTAATGTATTTCCTTTTACACTTTTTTCTTCTGGGTTTTGTACACATTTATAATATTAAACTCATACTGTGTATACTTTTCTGTCCTACATTTTCACTCAATATTATATTAAGAACTTACTTGCATTTCAAATATCCTTGACAGACACTAATTTTATTATGTTTATTTCAACTTATAGAATATTCAAATTAGTTAACTATGCCCTGTTTTAGAAATGTAGAGTTTAAAAATATTTTCAGTATTTTAAAACATATATTGATAAGCATCTTTATGAACATATTTTTATTTTCCTGATTCTTTTCCCTTTAATTTCAATTTTACTTTTTATGAAAATAATATATGCACACAGTTTAAAAAATTTCAGCAAAGCAGACAAAGAAAAATAAAACAAAATAAAATAAGATAAAATAAAATAAAATAGCCCTGCCTTCCTTCACTCCCCAGCCCCAGCTGAAATCTGGCTCTTCAAAGGCAATTACTTCAACCTCTTTAGATGTTTTTTCTGGCTTTTATTTTACATTTTAAAATATGCTATTTTTTTCCCCCCAAAGATAGGCCTTACTTCTTACTATGGAAAATGAGGAGTCATTTCAGATCTGAACTCTCCCTAAAGTGACTTTTCTTTTGTTTGCCATTATGTGTGTGTGTGTGTGTGTGTGTGTGTGTGTGTGTGTGTTAGGGTTAGGATTTTTCTTTTTTGTGCATTTGTATGGAGTTAACATCCTAATTTTGATTTGCTGCATGTGCTATAGAGCAAACACTGTATTTTCTCTCTTTAATCCTCTAGCACTATAAAAGTCTTGGTCAGGTATTTTAGGAAATTCCTCAGTTTCTTCTTCCCCTCCATAATGTGTCCATCTCTTAGTTCTTTATTCTCTGGTCTCATTGAGACAGGTTGTTTTGGAGCCTACTGCACGCCTTCCACTTGGGATTTCTCTTCATCATCCTCTGGGAGAATTTCATTTTTGTTTCTCCTGTGTTGATTTCTCTGTTTCTTGGGTCCATGAAATGTCTAGTGATCCTTGAACTTTGTTCATACTTGAGAGATAGGCTTTAGAAAGCTCATCCTTGTTTTAATTGACTATATTTTTTAGTTGTTTTCTTGACAGAAAAGACACTTTCCTTAAAAGTGTGCATGGAAATGAATATCCTGAAACCTTGATTATAAGTTGGAAATCACTTTTAGAATTTTGAAATGTAATCCATTCAGATTTTTGACATTTTACATATGGCCTCCCCCAACCCCCTGCAGAAATTTTTAGTTATTCTCTTTATCGCTAGGGTTGTGCAATTTTGTGAATATGAAGGTTTTTTTTTTAATTATTGTGCTGGATATGGGTATTTCACGAGCCCTTTCAAGCTTTAAAAATCCCTCAGTATTGGAATAATATTTCTTTTTTTTCTCTCTTTCAGAAATTCTGTTATTCAGATATTAGAGCTCCTGAAATAAGTGATTGAGTCCTTAATTTTCTTATTAATTCTTCCCTATTTTTCATCTTTTTGCTTTTTTTGGTTTACATTTTGGCAGATTTATTTCCAACTCTTAGATATTTATCTTCTAATCATTCTATTTCATTTACAGGTTTCTCTTGTGATATTGCCAATATATAATTATTATTTTTATTCTTTGAATTTCATTTTAACATAATTTTATTCTAGTTTCATGAATGATATAACTCACGAACTCATTTTTCCCTCTGAAGATATTAATTATGAATTTTTGGAAGTTTATTGATAAATTTTTATTTCTTTTTTATTTGGTTTATATATTTGTGTTTCATATTGCAGGCTTTTATCATAATCCATGGATGTTTATTCACACTAGGCTCTAAAAACTGATCAGAAATCTCTGAATATATGGATGGGGCTTGCTTGCATGGTGGGAGATTGAGCAGGGAGCCTCTAGTTTTATTAGCTATGCTCCAGATGTCTAATTTTTCCATTTAGTTTCTCCAAAGAAAACTTTTCCAATATCCTCAGTGGGGTCAGGTGCATGGGTTCCTGAATACTGCCAGCATTTTAGGCCTACCTCTTCAGGCTTTTGCACTTGCTATTCCTTTGCCTAGGATGGTCTTCTAAATATCCATATGAGTTCTTCTTATGCCTCCTTCATCTTTACTAGAATTTCCTCTTATTAGTGAGGCTTTCATTGGCTACTCAACCTAAAATGAACTCCCAACCCTTGACACATGCTCTTTATCCTCTTTGTCTGCTTAATGTTTCTTCTTCATGTTGTCTAGCATCATATATGTTTTAGTTATATTTAGTTATATTTTTTTATTAACTGTTTTCCTCTAATGGAATAGAAGTTTCATGAAGGCAAGTGTTTTTGTCTGTTTTGTTGACTGTTACATCTCTAAAATTTAGAATAGTAACTGGTAGGTAATATGGGATCAATAAAATTTGCTGATTATTCATTTAATATATATATTACATTTATTCAGTATTAAACATTTATATTATCATTGGTGATTTTTCTTATCACCTTTATGCTTAGAAAGTTGTTTTCTATCATATAGTTATTTATATTTTCTTTCAGTTTTTTTATGTTTTCATTATTATACTCTACTTGGTGAACCTTTGGAAATTAATTTTGGAAGAGGGTGTTCTCCTTTATTATTTTCTTTTTTTACTAATTTATTAATTTTCCCTATCCATTTCTTTTTTTAAAAAACAATCTCTCTTCCTTAAAGTGTTGGGCGATTTCGTTTTTAGTAAAGTTATAGTCACTACTGCAATCTTTACACAAAGCTTTATGTAGAGCTCTATTTGAAGCTTGATTTCACGATTCTCTAACAGGTAAAAAATATGGATATAAAAATTACAAATGACCTGTCCAGGATGGCTCAATGGTTGAGCTTTACTCTATGAACCAGGAGGTCATGGTTCAATTCTGGGGCAGGGCACAAGCCTGGGTTGCAGGCTTGATCCCCACTAGGATATGTGCAGGAGGCAGTTGATCAGTGATTCTCTCTCATCATTGATGTTTTTCCCTCTTCCTTCCTCTCTGATATCAATCAATAAAAAAAGTGTTTCTTTGTGGTGCTCTACAGTCTTGTCAGACTATTTTTTCTAATATACACAGTGTTAAAAATGCTGAATTAACTTGTAATTTATGAAGTTCATCCTGTTGCCCAATTTCTAAGATGAATATTTGTTTTCTCTTAAAAATCTAAAATGTAGTTATAATTTTGTATACTGTCATAGGACTAATGATGCCATAGAAAGGTAGACATCATTGTAGTTTTAGTAATTGAAATGAAGGTATATATTCCTATCCTTTATTTTGTTTTTTTCTCTTTAAGGTTCATAATAGCCCTAAGTGCCTTGGTTCAGTGTATTATTGTTACCGATCCATCAGCTTGTTCTTTTCAGACCAAGAGGAAATTCGAATTTATGGGCATGAAATAAAAAAGAATGGAATCAGGTAAGATGGGATAAATGATATAATGAAAATAACACCATGGATCAAAATAACACCAAAGAGTACTTCCAAACATCTCACATTGGAAGTGAATTATGGAGCAGGAAGAGAGAATTTCTTTTCAACAATAACCTTTAAGTTATATCATAGACACCAGAACTTAGGTGGCCTCCAAGGCCAGCCAGGTGGCGTGGAATCTAGCCATTGTAACCTTCTTAATGCTTATGTATGATACAAATATGTTTACATAGGTGGAGAAAAGATGATCATATCTTTTTCTAAGAGTCTCAAGAAATATCTTCATAGTTCATTCATTTTTGGCCTCTATTTTCTTCTTTCTTTTTTTATTTTTAAATCAGAAACTTTAAATAAAACCAAATCTCTGCAAGTCCTTTCCAAATTTATATGAATTGAGTTTTTCCACTAGTGTTCTGACAAAGATTCAGAGCCAGTATGTAACTGGCCTTCTTGAATTGCTCAGAGAGGGGATCCACTATGGTTTTCTGTCTGTAAAAAATAATATCTAAGGGTTTTAGGCAAGGAGATATTTACTTATTGAGTTGGTGAAAGGTTTTATACATCTTAAACTAGGAATACTATGGAATAATCTGCCTTCCAATCTAAATAATTCTACAGATATTCACTCTTAACTATCTCTTGGTTGAGTTATGGCAGGAAAAGGAAATCACCAGATGGAACAATTCTATCCATCCTTCAGAATTCACTAGCAAGTGTTTGAACCAGAGGGATTCTTTCCAGTGCCATGGCCTGACCAACCTTGGTGCTGTTTTTCTCAGCTTAGAGTCAACAGATGGTACAGAAAGGGCTTTGGCTGAAGCACCAGGGAAGCCAGGCACTGACCAAGTCAGGCAACTAGAGTAGCCTGTCTCTCTGGGCTTATTTTGTTGATCAGTTGGGTTCTGCACTTGTAATTGTCTTACAAAAGAAACAGCCATTTGAATGGGAAGATAACACTCTACATATGTATTTCCTGAAACTGAATTTAAATAGAAATTTAGAATTCCCCTGTATGAGATTTTAGATAACACAAATGACACTTTAACAATTATGTTTTATAAAGCAGAAATGGCATTCACGGGGATTTTCAAGAATACTAACCCTTTGTTAAATCAAAGATATAATATTTAAATTTTTAACTCAGATGTTGTATGATAGAAAAAGGATGGGTTTATTTTATTAACCAATTGACTTGCTTATACACTGTATCTGGTCTAGGGCCCAACTCATAGCAGGTGTTAGAAAAATGTTTGCCAAAATGAAATCAAATACGTGAGGCTCTGCACGTGCCACGCCTTACGTCTCTGGACTTGTGTTCTCTCACCTGTGAAGTGAAGGCATCTTGTACATATGAATCAGTAAATAACTTCTAGCAGCAATCAGTGCATTCATTTTAGTTTACGTTGTTAATGCTTCTTGCCGAGGTTAGAGTTTTTCTTAGATTTCTGGGAGATTATCTAATTTTTTCTATTATCCCCCATCACTACTAGCATTCTTTTGTTTTAGACATTAGACATTCATCTTTTATTTTAAAAAAAAGTTTATCTAATCAGTTTACTATGAAAGAGATAAATGACAAATGATCATACCAAAAACTACCCACATCAAAATAACTATACCTCTATAAAATCAATATTCCATTGCTATAAAGTATTTTTGTAAATTTTGATTCACTTTTTTATGTATACCTTTTGTAAACTTATTAACTTAGTATTATTCATACTGAATTTTACTATGCATTTAATATGAATTTCTCATGTTTATAATCTTAAATATTAATAGATTATGGAAGCAATCAGCTAAAGTCTTTTTATTTATTCTTCAAAGTAAATTTTTAGTTATTTTCCTATTCTTATGATCAATTTTCTGTAAAATTTATATGCAGATATCTTTGGGTAAATGGTTGGATACTTTGAATTATTTCTTTGTGGGCTATCCCTTTGTTAATGAGCCTGTTTAGTTTTATAGTTTTTATGCCATGTAGCCATCCTTTTTCTGAAAAGGAACCCAGTAATTAGAAGTTTTGAGAGAAATGTGTAAGTATACCTACCCTGTTTCCCCGAAAATAAGACAGTGTCTTATATTAATTTTTTTCTCCTAAATTTGCACTAGGTCTTATTTTCAAGGGATGTCTTATCTTTCCATGCGCTAGGTCTTATTTTCTGAGGGTGTCTTATTTTCGAGGAAACACGGTATTAACCTCCTGCCTCCCTCACATTATAGTTTATAATTTTCAGTTTGCATGGCTCTCATAATAACAATGCTTTTTGCCTTCCATGTCTTGAATTATTAGCACTGGCTCTTTTATGCTATATATGTGAATGGAAGGGGAATAGTGCTCTTTCAAAAGTATCCTAGGCAACTTACTGCGCTTTTAAAATGTCCAATTGTTTAGTTTTCTTTAGTTCTCATACATTTCCCACTTCCTCTGTACGTGCACATGCTTGTGAAAAATGAAAAGACTAGACATTGGATCAGGAATTTAAATACTCAATGTGACCATTATTTAAATAGCCCCAATTTTATGCTTTTTAAAAAATATGAGTATAACCTGTATACAGTACTGGAGAACAAAGTATACTATATTCCTAATAATGTACTTTGTAGCATTAAAAATGTAAGTGATAATCATGCCTTGAAATTTTTCTTTTGGAAAACAATGACTTATGCCAAGGTGACATTTTGGGGATAGAAGCTCCTATTTCCTTTCAGCCAAGTTTAAAATAACATTAAACAGAATCAGAAGTTGTGCAGCCTGTTTACATATTTTGACAATGTTTGTACTTCAAAATTTTGAGCAACACTTTTTTTAAACCTCGAACAATCCAGATAAAAATAAATACATTAAGCTCATTATTCAAATGGTTATTTTCCAGATGACAAAAATCACTGATATTTAGCAGAAGTATATTTTTGGTTGTTTGAAAGAATCATCCAATTATAAGTATAAAATCTAAATCAGCATGGAGAAGCATAATTTTTGTCTTTTATTTCAATATTGAATTTTTCAAAAAACCACAAGATTTTCTATAGGATGTGTGCTTGGTAAATCTAAATGCATAGTTTACTCAAAAATTTGGAATAATAACTATGTTTTACTTAATTGTCTGTTACTATGAAAAGAATGATCTATAATTGATCCTTCATTATAATTAATCTGCCTTTTTAAAAATTTTTCCAGTTTAACATTGCCTCAGACAATTGGACAGATTTCTGTTGAGAAACTAGCTGACTACATTCTGGTGAAAACAACCTTTGGTTTTTCATTGGCTTGGGATGGAATATCTGGAATTTACCTCAAAATATCTGACGAGCTTAAAGGGAAATCATGTGGACTATGTGGAAACTACAATGGCATTCAATCTGATGATTTCATCATCCATCAAGGTAAGGGGAGCAGAAGAAATGTGCGGAGACTTCTGAGGTCTTTTTCCGTCACCAGTCCAGCTGTTTGTACCATAAGAGCACAGCTTGTCCTAAGTTGGGTAAATTGGTAGCTATAACTTGTCTGTTTTAGAGATTTTAAGTTGTGTCATGCTTGAAAACCATTAGTTATTTTATATTTGCAAAATTAAGATAGAGGAATTACTCATGTAACAAATACGAATTGAGCATTTACTTCATGTTAGGCACTGTTGTAAGAGCTCAGGAGGCACCAGTGAATAAAACAAAGACTCCTTCCTTTTTGGGATTTACATTTTAGTGATTCAAATCCATTGGGGAAAATTATTCACTTTTGGAAAAAAGCTATTTTGCATCCAGTCTTGATAGGAATAGAACTAATGACTGCCAAATAATAGTTTCGCAAAGGTATTTAAATGTAAACAGTATTGAAAAAGTTGAATCTCTTGGAAATGTTTTATTACGAATAATGATATCTCTATAATCATTTATCTATTTATTCAAAGTCACTAAACTAATCTCAGTGAGCTCTTAAAAATGTGGTCTCATACTTTGGTTACTAGTTTGTACTGGCAATGGAATAAGAGAGTCATAGGATGCACTCATGATTTAGGTCCACATGGAGAGGTGTAATAAAAAAGAGGACTATTCGTAGGACCAGCAGACATGGCTGTGAATCTTGTTTCTAGCCTTAAGTTTTGTTGTTTGGGGCAACTCATTTAATCTCTCTGATGCTGTTTATTTGGCTGAAAAATAGGAATATGATAAGTTTGAATCTTAATAGTTATCAGGAATAATAAGGACCTATCCTGATATTATTTATAATATCAGTTAATATAAGCACATATCTATATTATTCTCAACCCTTACAACATTCTGTAAGGTGGGTGGCATTTCCTTAATTTTTTAATGACACAAAATGTTCTGTCCAATGTAATACAGCTTGTAAAATGCTGTCAGGGTTGGATTACAGATCTGAATATCTCCCAATCCTATGCTTAGGTAAATGTGTGAGAAATGGATTTTAAATCTGTAAAGTACTATCTATATAATACTTTTAAAAATATGTTTTTATCAATTTTAGAGAGAGATGAAGGGAGAGGGAGAAAGAGAGATAGAAATATCGATGAGAGAGCAACATCAACATTAATCGGCTGCCTCTACTGGGACATGTGTCCTGAGTGGGAATCGAACCCGTGACCTCCTGTTGCATGGGTCTATGCTCAACTGAGCAACACTGGCTGGGCTACAATACTTTTTAATATTACAAAATTAATAGAAAAGAGTTGCTCACATGTTGTGTTTTAAGGCACAGTAAAAATACTACTTAGAGTCTGGGTTCTGGACTCAGATGGTGATATTCAAATCCTTCTTTGCCATTTATTAAATTTTCTAAGTTTAGTGATAAAGTAATACTATATACTTCATAGAGTTGCAAGGATTAAAAGAGACAACCCATGCAAACTATTTGGTACAGCGTGTAGCACATAGTTAATGCTCAATACATTTTAACTAATTTATAATTGCTTTCACGTGGTCTCAATAAAACTATAATGAAAGCTGAAGTAAAAATGTTCCATTAAAGAGATTTAAGTGACCTTGTTAAATGCACACATTTACCCAAGATGCATAATGCATCATCGGGATTAGATCACTGGTGGCTGGGGCAAAGAGCAAGGCTTCATGGAGCCAATTTCCTCATATGTACAATGGAGATAATAATAATGACCCTGAGACCTTCCAGCCTGTGAGGGTGAAATGGGAAAATGTAACTGAAAATGTTCAAATTCTGTGAGCACAATGCAAGTACACTTACAGTACAGAGATCCCCATGAAATGGTGTTTTGCATCTAATTGGAGATTTAGAGTGAATTTTGTGGGTAGGGATTTAGACTCAAGCAGAGTCAATCAAATGGTGATTATTAATTTCTTTTATATGAAAGCGTCACATACAGAAAATAATAACACTCAATTTAGTACTCTGTATTAGAGTTAGAAAAGACTGCTGTGGGTGGCTCTCTTAGGACATCCGGGAACATTGTATGAAAGTCTAGGTCTAGACAGAAAACAGCATGTGTTCTTGTTAGGATTTGAGTTAAAAGTCAGACAGACTTTGATAATCTGGAATATAAAATGGTTGCTCACAGGGAGTTAACTGGTCAGCAAAGGGGTGTTAACAGATTATAAGCGGTAGAAGACTGGCAGGAGGCAATTGGACTGAAATTCGGAGGCCTGGCAGTAGGCAAGAAAGACCCCAGAGAGTATGTGGGAAGAGCCTAAAGAGAGAGTTCAGCTTTTTCACAATTTTATTGGTGCACAGTATGAAGCAGAGTAATTGCCAAAACCGGTTTGGCTCAGTGGATAGAGTGTCAGCCTGCGGACTGAAGGGTCCCAGGTTTGATTCTGGTCAAGAGCATGTACCTTGGTTGCAGGCACATCCTCAGTGGGGGGTGTGCAGGAGGCAGCTGATCAATGTTTCTCTCTCATCAATGTTTCTAACTCTCTATCTCTCTCCCTTCCTCTCTGTAAAAAGTCAATAAAATATATTAAAAAAATAAAAAATAAAACAGTAATTAACAAACTAACATAATAATTTATAGGGATGCGACAAGAACCTAACGTCCACCTTTCTTCCATGTGCTAGTAATGCAAGACATTTCCTGCAGGTGAGCTGAGTTACCTTTAGCTAGAAGATCCTAAAGCTAAAATAACTCAGCCTGTACTTTGAGAGTCAGTTGTACTTTGCTGATTAGAGAACTCTTTAGAATCAGTGAGTTTAACTGAATGCCACTGAATGCATAATTTATTAAAAGTGATTAAAATTGTATTTCTTTCTGCCTTCCTACTTTTTTTCTTCAGGAATGACTTCAAAAAGAAATAAGGCTTTTCAGAATTTCTGTGAATATAGAAAGATTTTAATTTGTTGCTAGTTGAGCTTCTGTTCCATAATTCATGTTTTTAGCTAGCTACACATTAATATAGAAACCCTGGTTTACCCTTCACTTTCTCAACATAATTGATAGTGCCTCACTTGCATTCTCAGAAATGTCACAATATGGACAATATTATTCTATTTGTAGCACCTTCTATATAAAATATTTAAATTTTAGTTATGCAGGCTCTAAGACCACCAATTATCTCATAATAACCAACTCTTGTGACTCTTTTATTAACACAATGTAGTAAAAATAGGTAAATATGTGTTTGAAACGCTGTAATTTAAGTGAACTTTAAGGGATTTCTCTGGTTATTTAGTTACATTAAATTGTAGACATAAATATTAACATAAGCGAGACTTTAGGAAATGTTTTTAGTTCTTCAGACTTTTAAAAAATAATGATGTTTTAAATGCGATTATAAATTTTCTTTAAAAGTACATTCACTTTTCCTTTTTTAAAATCAATATATTAGACTAGGCCCATGCTTAGTTTTAATGTTTTAAAACAATATTAGTGATAATGAAGTGGGATTCTAATAATCTTTTAACTAAATATTACAAACTCCCTTGAATTTATTCACTCACTTATTTAGCAAATGTGTTTGAGCTCCTGCTATATACCAGTTACTAACCTCCAGAGATACTGCAGAAGGTCAGCTTAGGGAAGCTCTCTCTCTTCCCATCGTAGGTATTACAGTGAAAGACAAAATACATAAAGAGAAAACTTAAAATATAACTTTTGTGAAAAATATCAGCCATGAAAATAAATGAGGAAAGAAAGGAGGTTAAGAGTCATAAAATAGTGTGTGTTTGGTGGTAGTTCAGGTCAAATGGCAGAGAATGCTCCTGAGGAGGTCATATTAAATAACGTCTCTTATAACCAACTTCTGTGACTCTTTTATTAACACAAAGTAGTAAAAGTAGCTCCAAGACCAAATAAAGGAGAGAGCAGGGGTAAGAGTGATTCTGAAGGAGGAGGGCCACGAGCAAAGCAAGTGCAAGAGGCAGTTGGAGTTGAATTTGAGAGAAGACTGTAGTAGGTTGAGCAAGAATAGGAGGAGGTATAAGAGGGGCTGGACCAGGGTGGGGTGAGGTAAGTGGAGGAGGTTGGGAGTTGAAGGAATAAAGGGGCCAAAAAGTCTTCAAGGTCAAAATAAAGTCTGGGATTTTACAGTCAGAAAGAAAAGCATTTTTATAGGTGAACTCCCACAATCTTCCCAAAACTGGTAGTAGCACATGGACATCACCTTCCTATCTTGAAGACAGAGAGAAAGAAGGATAGAAAGAGGGAGGGAGGGAGGGAGGGAGGGAGGGAGGGAGGGAGAGAGAGAGAGAGAGAGAGAGAGAGAGAGAGAGAGAGAGAGAGAGAGAGGGGGGGGGGGGGGGAGAGGGGGAGAGAGAGAGAGAGAGAGAGAGAGGGAGAGAGGAGTCATGAACTATTTGGCTTGAGATTTATGATTCTACTGATGTGGTAGCTATTCTTCAAAGGTAGGCGTGTGGCTGTGTAAATGTACATGGCAGAGAACCTAAAGCCCAAACCTAAGGGTAATTGCCTTAGATGGAGCTTTGAGATGCCATCCTGTTCGCCTGAATGTGGGGCAGGGTTAATTTTCATTAATTGTCAAACTTGTTCTCAGGCCAGGTGCTGAGGCGATTTAAACTCGATCTGAGCAGAGAGGCCAGAGTGCTCACCGCCCGCTGTTTGTTGCTGTGTATACATTAGCTCCGGAATCTCGCCTCTGAATTGCTGAGGCAGTGTCAGGATTCTTAACAATCTGTCCTGAACGTGTTTGGAAACACTTCTTATCACATTCCATTGAAATTAGTTCACTCCTTAGTCTTCTGTTCACAGGTGTCTTTTTCAGTCTTTTACTGTATGTATGTCCTCTGGAATTTCAAGGGCTCAACAAAATTTTTTTTATTGTTGTTTGGGTTAGGGTTCGGATTAGGGTTAGGGTTAGGGTTAGAGTTAGCAAAACCTAGAGGCTAATTAATACTTTACTAAAGTAAATGTTGTGTCACTCACTCTCAGTAAAGCTTTTCCTCTCCAATGATATTAATTTTTATTTGGTACTAACACTTTGTCCAATTTATTTTTATCATGCTAAACGGATGTTACAGGGAGGGCAAAAGGATGTTACAGTTGTGAGTATGCTAAACACAGTTTATCCTTGGATTATTATTTATTATCGTATTATTTTCCATCAGGACAATTGTAAATCTACTTTTCCCAACCCCTGTATAGTCTCATACCACTGATAATTATCAAGTTATTGAATTTAACTTTTTTGACCAGGAGTTCATGTTGATGAACTGTGTGCTTGTGGAAAGTGATCCTATTACACCTTTGTGTGTGTGTGTGTGTGTTTGTGTGAAACAGAGGACTATACAGAAGACATCGCTATGTTTGCAAATAGTTGGTTGGTGCAAACTCCAGATGACTTCAAATGCGTACCCACACCCTCAGATTTTCCAAATCCATGTTCCAGCGGAATGCCAGCATTCGAGGTAAATTTGGTGTGAAAACTATGGGCATGTTGGATATAACAATCATATATTGTATTTGTATATTTAATAATAAGCATTTTAAATGCAAACATTACATACTTAAGCACTATTAAATTTAGGAAATGTAACTTCAATAGGAATAACTTTACAATTATTTTAGAAATAATAAATGTGATGTTTTGTAAAAGTAGCACTCATTACAACAACATGTAATTATAAAATATTGGTTAAAATTTACAAGCAGAAATGACCTCCTGTTTCCTAGTAAGAACAGAATCTTGCAATTAGATCGGTAGGAGAAAAACGAGAATACATGCATATCATTAAATACGCTGTGGTGACCTCCACCTTTTTCTGCACAGGCCATCTTCTTCAAGTGTCAGATTCTGTTGCAGTTCCCTTTTCTGAGCTGCCATGAATATATTGACCCATATTTATACATTGCCAGCTGTGTTAACGATCTTTGCAAGTAAGTGAAATGATTAGTATTTGCAATAAAATGTTCTTTATCCCAAAAGAAAAGCAAAAACCACTTTTACTTAGTCATCTCACCAATTCACAGAATATAATGGGAAGTATAAAGCATAAACTGTACTAGCAGCTTTTAAAAGATCACTGCATAACAGGTACAGTCCTTTTTATACAAGCAGCATGAACAGAATACAGCAATTCTTTTTTTAAAAAAATATATTTTTATTGGTTTTGTACAGAGAGGAAGGGAGAGAGATAGAGAGCTAGAAACATCGATGAGAGAGAGTCATCGATCAGTTGCCTCTTGCACACCCCCTACCGGGGATATGCCCGCAACCAAGGTACATGCCCTTGACCGGAATCGAACCCGGGACCTCTCAGTCCCCAAGCCGACGCTCTATCCATTGAGCCAAACCGGTTTCGGCAGAATACAGCAATTCTTAAGTATTTTTTATGCCACTGACCCATTTTGGGAATCAAGAGATTTCCATAGACCCTTTTTCAAAACAATGTTTAAATGCACAACATAAGTTTACAATGGAAACTGTATTGAAATGAGTTATCAATATAGTAAGTGAGATTATTTTTTGATACCAGGACTTTTCTACATGCATTGCATGTCTAATAACTATTGTAATTTGATCTGGTTATGAGTCTAAATACTAAGAGAGCTGCAACAATTATAATGAGAAATTAAAACATGAAAAAATGATATATGAGATATATTGGTGAAAAAGTCAGAGATACTACTAAGAACATTGTGATATATTCCCTAAATCTATAATTGAAGGAAATGCTAAATTTCATTTGGAGATTAGTGAAAATAAGCATATATTTTTCCCAACCAAGGTCATAGACTCCCACATTCTCTCCCAGGTTAAGGGCACCTTGATTGGGTAGTTTCTAGGGAACAAACTCAGTGAGACTTCAAGAATACCTCAATAAATTTTAATAAATCTACAGTTAAAAAATAATAAATGCAAAAGGTATATAGGAACTTTGTTTTAAAAGACCAGTCTAATTTTTGGTTGAGTAAAACTACTTAAATGGCATTTTGGATGGCTTGTTAAGAGGTTTAAGTTAATTAAAAATAAGAAAAAGGAGGGAAGGTGAGATTGTATAAAACTGCCTTATTTGTAATTACTGTGCTTAGAATATGCCCACACCTTAAAGCAAGGGCTGCCGAGAAATGCTCTCTTTGGCTGGGTACCCATATGCCCAGCAAAAACTTAGAGTAGGGGTGTCGAACTCAATCAGAGAAGGGGCCAAAATCTAAAATCCAGCCTAAATCGCGGGCCAAATGGTTTACTGAACAGTCATAAACTGTCATTGTGATGGAAACGCAGCGGAGTGCAGTGATGACAGCGCGGTTCGGGCCACATTGCAAGGCCTGGCAGGACGGATTTGGCCCGCGGGCCTTGTGTTTGACACATGTGACTTAGAGGGTCTAATACTGAGACGGAGAAAGGGAACTGGGGACCAAAAAAATTCTCTGCGACACTCACTTTGTCTGAAATGTCCTCATTGAGACATTAACATGATGTTTTGGTAGACTTAGGCTTTGGCTTTTGAAACGAAATTGCTTTCTCCAGGGTAAATAAAAATAGAAGTATAGAAAAGCATCTTTTACTGGTTGAAATCGTCTGAAATGCTTTGAGGTGGAGAGGTGATATGCTTGGGGGCTCAGCAGACATAGGCTACCGATAGAAGGGCATTATAAATCAAGTCAGTGGTCATGGGTGGAATGAAAGCCCAGTTAGTTAGCCTTTCATCCTCTCCGTCTGCCACCTAGGACCAGACCCCCTACATTCTCTCTCCCCTAACAGAGATTCTCTTTATTTCTTATGTATAATAGCAGAGGACTGCATCACACGGACCCAGAGCGTGAGAATAGCATTGTCAATCTGCTGAACTCAAATTAATTTCCTGTCTGAATAGATAGGATAGCATATTAAATTTGATTCAACACATATTTTCTGAGCATCTGGTCTGAGCTGAGCATTTGTGCCACACCTTGGAGAAGCAGAAACAATTTAGACAGAGACACTTTCCTGGAAACTCAGGTTCTGGGGGTGGGGCAGGGGGTGGGGGAGGGCAGAGAGACAGGCCTCCAGCACCCACACAAGCTCTGAAGGCAAGCGCTGCACTGTGGGGGAGAGATCGCTGACTTCATCAGGGAGTGTTCCACGGAGGAGATAACATCTCAGTTGAAATTTGAAGAATGATACAATTCCAGTCCTTGAACAGGAAGCCCAGTTGCTACTTCTAAGAATGATAAACTTACCAGCAAGGAAATGTTTCTGCCACACCAAAGTCAATTGATTTAAAGACAAACTACTCCTTAATGCTCATTTTCATACTAAAGTTTACATCCAAAAAACAGAACAAAAAGCCCTCATTTTTCCTCAGTAAATTGAGGTAATCATTTCTTTCCTGCCTGAGTGTTGTGAGTTTTTGTATGGTACCATGTGTAACATGCCTAGCCTGGATCCTAGAGTAGCACAGACAAAATAAATGGTAGCTATTTTAATAATAGTTGCATTGGGGTGGAAAGCCACATTGAGTTAACTTTCACAGTTAGCCTCTATTAATTGTAGGAAATCATGCACACATTGTAAGGGAAATCATACACTTCATGTTTTTCTAGCAATCGAATCATTTTAGCTTGCCCTGTCTTTCAGAGAATATTCTTGTCTGGAGGTTTAGAATCTTTTCTCAGTTTCTGGAGTTGATGCTCAGTCCCCTTTTCCTTTTAAAGCTCAGTTAATTGGACCAGATAAGCTGCATGACTCCAATTACAGTAGCTCAGGATAAGCGCAATTTGAGATGGCTGGCTTTACAATAGAGATACGAAAAGGCTAAGGTTCACAAAGTACAACATTCTTAAGGTTGTTATCCTGTAAGATAGTTAGCTATTCAATTCTGAGTTGGAATTGGGTCGAAAAACAAGGCCACTACCTTACTATAAACCCTACTATAAACCTTGCTCATTTTATAGGTACCTGTGTGTCTGCTTTGGGAATTGGCTGGCCCCTTTGTTTGGGGGAGCTTCTAGAGTGATTATAAGAAAATAATTAGAGAATATTTACTCTTGCCAATATTATAAAAGTAACTAGCTTTAAGAATTTAAACTTAAAAGAATTAAAAAAAGTAAAATCTTAGTTGAATGTTTTTTATTGAGTATTTCAAAACTGCTGCAGGTTATTGGTATTGGCTTTATTCCTGTAGACCAGTGTTTCCCAAAGTATGGTACGTGTACCCCCAGGGGTACGGGAAGAGTTTGGTGGGGGTACGCGTTGCACCGGAGTTTGGTGGGGATATGCACTGCGCCGTGCTTAGCTGCACCTAATTCTACGTTCTCATGAGTATGATGGGGTACCAGTGTTACGAAAATTATGGAAGGGAGTATACATATGTCAAAAGTTTGGGAAACACTGCACGGTGTAGACTATCAAGATCATGGTATCTTTGAAATAATTTTCATATCTGGAGCTTTTGTTGTGATGGAGTTTTATCTGTTCTAATGGGATTTATTCAGTTCTACAAGGTCTGTGATGCTTTGTGTGGGAGCCAAAAAATACATACAAGGATTCTGGAAAAAATGTCAGAATTAAAATAGAAATCTTTTTCAGTATAGGGACACCCTGGAATCAAAAGAAAAGTGGTTAAATATTTTCAGAGTGATGAAGACAATTTACCTAGGCTTTTTTTTAACTGGGATCCCATGTTTATTTGTTTTATGCATTATTATACATGGTATATTTTATACATGCTGACATCAGTTAGTGTTGGAATATTCACCAGACACTAAACATTTCTAGAGATCAGGAGCTCAAAGATGCGGATCCTGCCAGTATCCTGGGTGTGACTCTGGCTCTGTCTTCTCGCTTTCCAGAACCGATGATGATGATACCTATTGTCGGGCAGCCACCGAGTATGCTAGAGCCTGTTCCCATGCTGGCTACCCCATTCAAGACTGGAGAGATGACTTCCCAGCATGCAGTATGGTTTCTTATTTTCCTAAGCCCTGTGTACTTTGTTAATGTTAGGCTTATTCTAGTATTCAGAACTTCCCTGTGTACTCAAAACTGATGAATGGCAAGGATTTGTTACTGGTGCAGAAACATTGATAAACTTGCAACCTTTTTGAAATACTAATCTTCTTGAGGTGAATAAAGTTGACTTACAGCATTCCCATTTGCCCATTTCAGCTGACAAATGTGATGATAGCTTTGTCCACCGGGATTGCATCAGTTGTTGCCCAACCACCTGCACATTTGAGAAACAATGTCTTGGGAGCAATCTCCACTGTCTTGATGGATGTTACTGTCCAGACGGTAAGTGTTCCTTGAGAGAAATCATGTCTCCGCTCATGGAAAATAGCATCCTGTGAGCTGAGAATCAAGCCTTCCAGGACACCAGGGCTGTTGCAATGTTCAGCCCTTGTAGGATCTGATCCTTGAAGTGATAGGAGAAAAGTCTGCTTTTCTTTAATAAAAAGGCTTATTGTTTTTGCAAATTTCCCAGGAAATTTGGAATGTAGAGTCCTGGCGTAACCATGGCAATTCTTTTGTTCTCTTGAATATTTAATATATATTTAATAATTTATGAAAGCAATATTAGAAAAACAAATTGGCAAAACAAGATTTTACTTGTGATGCAGCTTTAACATTTGAAATTAGAAGTAACATAGCAAGAGATACAGGTGGAGTTTAAACTTAGGAATGACTCTTATGCCAATAGACCTTTTTAAAGAATTCTCTCAAATTCTTACATTTTTTACAGATAAAAAAATAGAATACCAGATTCGCTATGTGATTTTAGCACTGTCACACAGTTAATATGAATGAGGACTACTTGGAACCAGATCTGTTGACCTCAATCTATTGTTCTTATAGTGCTGCTCAGGGGTAGCACTTTGGATCAGTGCCAGGCATCAACTGTTTCTTACCATTCACTGATGAGATAAGGAGTTTGTACCAGAACATAAATTAATGCACTAAATATATAAGTCAATGCTTCTTTCTCTAGAAAGTTACTCAGACAAAAGGTCAGTGAACAAAACAGTGTGCTTAGTAGCACAGTTCATTTACATTCTGGCTCAACTGTCTTTGCTCATTAGAGAGAAGTAACAAATGCATTTCCACTGTACTTGCCCTTTGAGTAGCACCGTCTGGCTATTTATTATACATGTGATGATGGTGTAAGTGCCTCATTGGCAAATGAACAGAAATTCAACCAAGAATAAACTTCCTTAGTTGCCTTTATTCTATATGGTGAACCTTGAGTTTTTTATGGTAAGCCATAGGATAAGAAAGTTGAAAACCACTGAAGTAGAGATGTTGGAAACCTCCTTGGAAGTAAAGAAATTTCTATTTTGTTACGTAGCTTAAGCAAGAATTTAATAAAAGTTAAATTATTATATTCAAAGAATAAATATTTATTATTTCTTTTGAGAATTTGATATGTATTTTTTTTCAATAGGCCTCATCATGGAAAATGGGACTTGCATCTCCTTGGAAAGTTGCCCATGTAGTTTTCACGGACTAGCTTATTCAGTTGGTTCCAAAATTGAACAAGAATGCACTGAATGGTATGTGATCAATGCACAGCCAATTATTTCTGGGGACCTGGCTGGGTGACAATTTTATACTAGTATAACATATGGTTAAAAATATATACTTTTTACTGTTTTTTTTCCAAAAATTCCCAGATGTATTTTATTTAAAGTTGGTACAGGGGTGGGGGAACATTTGCACATTCTTTTATAATGCAACTAGTGACCCTGTGCACGAAGTCATGCATAGGTAGGTCCCTAGCAGTGGTTAAGGCTGATCAGGGTCTTCCGGCTGCAGGCCACCGCCTTGTGGTCAGCGCACATCACAGTGAGCAATCGAACTCCTGTCTCCTGTTCAAACTCCTGTGGGGACACTTTGCATATTAGGCTTTTATATACATGGATTCTCCTCACTTCCTTTGGCAGTTTCATAAAATCTTTATGTTTTATTTTCTTATTATTTTTGATCACCAAGTTACACATACTTTTACTCTTAGAATTGATGTTGAGTACTTTTTAAAAAATATATGTTTTTTTTATTAATTTCAGAGAGGAAGGGAGAGGGAGAGACAGATAAATATTAATGATGAGAAAGAATCATTGATTGGTTTCCTCCTGCACATTTCACACTGGGAATGGAGCCTGCAACCTGTGCAGGTACCTTGACCGGGAATTGAACCTTGATCTCCAGGTTCATAAGTTAATGCTCAGCCACTGAGCCAGGCTCTATTGAGTACTTTAAAAAGTGACTCCATATTGCCAGTTTTTCTCCATGATTAGAGACATTTAGAATTTCTTATTAAATTAGCTAAGTCTATTATAGGCAAGGATTGCTCCCTCCAGTGCAGTCCTAAAAAGAAGCAGAAATCTAAATATTATCAGGTTCCTTTCGATTTGGTATAGGTGTATACAATGGAAATGTAAATAGATAACTCTACTCTTAAATCCCAACTTGAGTTTCTGCCTTTCAGAGACTACTTCTGTCCTCCCTAACTAATATTGTCTTGGAGGTAGAAGGTAGAATTTATCTTATATAAAACTATATATTTTCTCTCTTTAATGTCTGATGATCTTCAGAACCAATTTTCTTAATTTGTACTACATGAGATAATTTATAAATTTGAACTCTTATATGTATTTCTTTAATGATAAAGGCAAATACTTCTCTATATGTGAGCTCTTTTAGTTTAAGCAAGGAGAGAAGGACCAAAGCAGAGGCTTTCTGTTTGATTAGTATTCACTTTGTATCATCTTTAGTGACTTTTAAGTCTGACACACAATCCTATATAATAAAGAGGTAACATGCAAATTGATCTTCACTCCATCACACCATCACAAGATGGCTGCATCCACAGCGGAGGCAGGGTTCCTGTAATGAGCTGTAATGAGCGATCAGCAGAGACCTGAGGCTGCACCACCCCCACCTGGTGGGGCTTGACAGGGAACCTCAGGTTGCTCCCCCTGCCCTGGTGCTGGGCTGGGGGACCAGAAGCCTCATCCCCTCCCCAGCACCAGGGGACCTGAGGCCGTGCCCCCAGCCCAGTGGGGCTTCAAGAGCGACCTCAGGCCATGGTCCCCACTCCAAGTAGCTTGACAGAGACCTCAGGCTGTGCCTTCTGTCCTGGCACCGGGCCAGGGGACCTGAAACTGCGCCCCCTGCTCAGCAGAGCTTGATAGCAGACCTTAGGCTGCAACCCCCAGCCCTGGCCGGGGACCTCAGTACACCCCCTTTGCTCTAGCACTGGGCTAGGGGACTTGAGGGTGTGCTGGGGGACCTGAGGCTGTACCCCCCACACCCCACCTAGTGGGGTTTGACAGGGGACTTGAGGCTGCACCCCCACCTGGCAGGGCTTGATGGGGGACCTAAGACTGAGCCCTCTGCCTGACAGGGCTTGATGAGGGTGGGGCCGGCCAGGTCTGGGTATCACACAATTTTGAGGTGTACGTGCGATTTCAAGGTGCAAGCGGGTGGGTGACTCTGGGTCCTGTGGTGTGACCAGACTCTGACAGGAGGAAGATTTTCATATGCATTTTACTAATTTTCTTTCATCTCTGACACTTCTATTATAGAGAAAGGGCAAATAGCAATATTAAAATATTTCCTCTAATTAATTCCCTTTTAATGTGCATGAATTTCATTCACTGGGCCACTAGTAAATAATAATTTAGATGCTGGCCAGCATAAATTTAGCAGTTAATTGAACTTGTGTGGAGAGGTTTTTCAAGTCAGATTATTCTGAGCCTATAAACATTGAATATTTTGGTACATTGATGCAAACAATACAGTTTCTCTATACTAGTAGATTAATGTTTTGTCATTTTATTTAGTGTATGTGTTGGTGGCGTTTGGAACTGCACTGAGCATGACTGTCCAGGTAATTTTTTAACTTTTTTTTTTTTTTTTTTTTTTTTTTTTAATGCCTCAGTTCTTTTTTAAAATTAAGGAGCAAGGTAGCACTGATTTTTGTGATGTCATCTCATATATAGTGAGAGATGGAATCATCTATAAATCCAGGTAGGCAGAGGATAAATGGAAAATTGAATAAATGATAGCTTTGAGCAGGAAATTTTGGTAAAAACTTATTAAAAATAGTAAAAATATTGCAGCATGTGGAATAGCTATCATTTAGTAAACTTTAAATTAAATTGAATAACATAATTTAGTAAGTTTGTCAAACTAATTTTAAACATTTAGCTATTCTTTTTGATGCATGATTATTAATCCTAAGTTGACCTGCTTTTTTTGAGAATAAATAATTTCTTTTCCTCCTCCTCTCTCTCTTCTTTTTTCCCTTCCTCCCTCCCTCCCTCTCTCTCTCTCTCTCTCTCTCAATCTCTCAATCTCTCTTTCTTTCTTTCTTTCTTTCTTTCTTTCTTTCTTTCTTTCTTTCTTTCTTTCTTTCTTTCTTTCTTTCTGTAGTTCAATGTTCTGTTGTAGGTGATTCTCATTTTACAACTTTTGATGGTCGACATTATTCTTTTATTGGAATGTGTCAATATATCCTTGTGAAAGCAACTGGAAAGGAGAAATTCACACTTACCTTACAGAAAGCTCACTGTGAGCAGGTAAGAATATCTCAAAATGACCAGATAAATTTTCATTTTTTAATTCAAATTTTATATCCAGGTTAAAAATAGTAACCTGAGTAGGCATAGTTATTTTCTTCAAAAATAAAACACCATTGATTGCTAAGATGCATCATTCTATGTACTACAAAGAAAGAAAAAAATGTTGATAATCTGTTATACTAATGGTCATCTGGTGTGTCCTGATTTCAGAGATATTAAAATATGAGAACAAATATGTCTTATATTAAATATTATATATTTCACTGCATTTTCTTTCTTTTAAATGTGATATTTGTATGTATAGTTTTTTGAGCAGTGAACCTAAGTTTCTGGTTACTTCACAATTACTATTTTAAAGAAATGATTTTTATAGGATTGGCCAAGTTTCATATCATTCTAAATAAATATAACAAATTTCTTTGCGTATGAAATATTTATTTTCTTCAAATAAACACATTAATAATTTGTAAATAAAGACACCTGGATCTTCCCTCTCTCTAACTCAGGTAGTCAAAATTTTGCAGAAATAATTAATTTTCCAGTTTTACTATAATATAAAATTGTCATTTCCAGTGAAAAATTTCAACTACTTTTTTATTGCTTTTTTTTCCTCATTTGATTTTTTTCCTTTGCAATATGTCAGAGTCTAAATAAGTTTTTTACATAGAATCATAATTTTCTGTTTTTCTTTATTGATTTTTATGTCTAACAAGCCACTTAAATGAATATAGAGAGGTACTTTATAGCTATGAGAAAACATAATTATTGGAACTAAATTGAAATCATTATTTAATGTTCATATAAAATATATGTATATATGATATATTTAATATATTATACAAAGACATATTTTTATATAATAATGGGTATACATAAATGGATTATATAGTAATTACTTTATTATATAATTAATATGTAATATTAATATATAATATTACTCAAGCCTTTTATATACTAGAAATTCTTATCTATGTGCATTCTTTTTTTCCTTTCCTCTTTTTTCACTCCCTAACTTTCTCCCATATTTTTCTTCTATTGTCCCTGTCTCTTTCCATGTCTCTTTATCTCTCCCATCTCTTTAATTGGTTATTCAATTTTTATGCAGAATCTTGGCTTGGTCTGCCTTCAGTCTATAACTCTAATTCTGGATGATGATTTTGATAAACAAGTGACCCTTAGTCGGGGAGGACAAATCCTCACCAGTCCTAACCAAGGCTTCAATCTGAATGGTAAGAAACCATGCTAACAGAGTACTTTCCTTCCAAAACAACAAAACAGCCTAAATGGAAACTCCTTCCATTGGCTGCCTGTTCTAAAATTTGAGTGTCTATATGTTGTCAGATCCTTAATCGGACACAGTAAAGACCACCATGTTTATGGGATCTATTGTTGACCTAGTGTTAAGTGGAGTTTGAAAGAGGAGCTACACAAGCAAACATCCACTTATGCAACACACGATAAACTCAAAGATAGGCGTAGAGACTGGGAGGAGGTGTCTAAATGAGTGTAACTCTCCCAGTCTTGAGGTGGGGTATGCAGGTGTGGTCAGGAAAATTTTCTGAAGGAGATGATGCATCATTGAGCATTTAAAACTGAGGATTGCTGGGATGAAAGAGATGGTAAAAGTGTTATGGAAAGAGCTATGGAACTCTGCAGTATGTTTAGGGGGAACTATAGCTACTGTGGCATTGCTGAAGCCTGAAGAGGGCGAATACAGGCTATCCAGAGATGAAAATAGGAAAATAGGAGAGGATGAGACTCCCAGAAATGTCCCAGTTTGTAGAAATTACATGGCCATTCTACTGATTTTCATGCTAAGAATTGAACTTGATATAAAATTGAATATGAGATTATCATTATTTTACCAATTTTAATGAATATAAATGACAATCTTATGTGGTTCAACCAAATTAAACAGCCAGTTTTAATGAGGAGACTGATATCATCTTTTTTTTTTTGAGGGGGCGGGGTGGTGGTAAAATACTAAGACAATGTCAGACATTCCTAACTAACATGGAGAACAGGTAGAATGTTATTGAGGTGGGGCATGCAAAGAGTGGAGAACTGATCTAAGGCAGTAACAATAGAGATAGAAAAAAGAAGATTGCTTAAAAAATTATTTAAGAAAAAAATGGTCTGACCTTGGTGATGGATTGGATTGGAGTTAATTGGAGGAGCGCGAGAAAAGGATGATGTGATCAAAGAATGATTCTCAGATTTCTGGGTTTGGCGAACAGATGATGGCAGAAACCGTGAGAGATACAGGAGCAGCTCGGTCTTGAACACAAATTTCTTATCTTTAAAGGTATCTCATAAAATTTGTTTCTCAAGTGCTGTGCTCCTCCTTTTGCTGACAGGCTCAAGGGAATGGGGAGTTTTGGGGGAAAGTGCTACTTCCTTATTGGATCATAAGGAGTTTGGGGAAACACACACACACACACACACTCACACACTCACACACACACACTCACACACACACACACTCACACACACACTCACACACACACACACACTCACACACACACTCACACACATTCACACTCACACACACACACACACATACTCACACACACACTCACACTCACACACACACACTCACACACACACACACACTCACACACACACACACTCACACACACACTCACACACACTCACACACACACACACTCACACACACACTCACACACCCCCACACACATACACACACACTCACACACACACACACACTCACACACACACTCACACACACACACACACACTCACACACACACTCACACCCCCCCCCACACACACACGTTGAGGAAGAGAGATCAGATTTCAAATGTCTAAGGACTGTCCAGATGTCTGAAACTGACACTATACATTCACCTAACAATATATTAAACATATCAGCTTAGGGATCACAAAGGAGGGACAGAAAGAAAATGGGAGAAAAGAAAGCAGGCACAAGGTGGCAAAAATTGGGGCTGGAGTCCAGGGGTGGGAACTGGGAACCTGCCTTCCCATGTCCCAGTCTCTCGGAAGGAGAGTCCTGATGTATGCCAGCATTTCAGAACAATTCATATAAATCGCAAGGCTGACTTATGTATGTTATTTTCCTTTAGGAATTGTTGAAATTCAAACTGTGTCATCCTTATTTATCCTTCTAAAAACCACATTCGGCTTGAAGATTCTGTTTGCTATAGATGGGGAAAGAATTTATATTCAGCTCACCAGTACATGGAAAAGAAGAACACTAGGTCTATGTGGCACTTTTAACGGGAACATAAGGGATGATTTTCTGTAAGTATGATTTCTGTAGAGCTAACATGATTTAGTGACTAGTAATGTAGAGGATATACCGTATTTTTCGGACCATAAGACGCACCGGACCATAAGACGCACCAGTTTTTAGAGAAGGGAAATGAAGAAAAAAAGATTCTGAAACAAATAGTGTCCTAAAATATTTTATGTGCATTAAAACCCAACATCACAGTCATAAACACATGTAATCAACCCTGTAAAGTAAACAGCAGCATTTAGAACCATTTTAGAGCCGGGCAAGCACACAGAGACCACACAGAGCCGGGCAAGCAAAAAAACTTTTTTTTTTTAAAGTATATGTGTAGGCTATATTTGGACCTTAAGATGCAGGGACTTTTCCCCCCCACTTCTGGGGGGAAAAAAGTGCGTCTTATGGTCCGAAAAATACGGTAACTATTTTTATTAAAAATGTTTGACCATAATATAGCTTAGTCACCAATGTTCCAAGAGCTTCAAATGAATCATCTTATTTAAATTTTATAACCATCCACAGATTTGCATCAGTTGGTTTTATAGAGAAGAAAACCAACGGAGGCCAAAAGGTGGCAAATAAATGGCTCAGAGTCACTTAGCCCAAGTAGAGTAGAGCTAGGTTTTGAATTTAGATCGAGTGACTCAGAGCTTGTAGGATAACTCACAGGATGACCTGTTATACTCTCCCCTGCCACCTATCAACATTAACAGTATTTAAAAAAACAACTTAATATCATTTGGTACCAACTATAGTAAATTATACTTTAAAAATATTGATATCATTTAGTAGGAATAACACCTCTAAAGCGACACTTGGGCATCTCAGCTCATTGGATTTTGTGATAGTTGGTGCTTACTCAGAAGAAAAGCAATAAAATCCCCTTGTACTCCTTGTAATGACAAATCACTTCCACCTGCATGTGAAGAGACACTGTGATCCTGTAAATTCATGCGAATACTCTGAGCATTTGTGCAAAGCATGGTGGGCAGGTGAAGCAGTTTGATAGGCTCTCATCCTCAAGGAGCCGGTTGCAGATTGGGAGGAGAAAACACCCTTTAAGAATATTTAGTTCCAGGTCAGGTGTTAGTCAGCAATATATACATAAAGACTGAGACAATTTTGAAGAGTTAAGCTGTGTAGTCATGGCTAGAAGCACAGCAGGAGTTTTGAGTAGGTGAGAGTGAGCTGGGTAGGCAGGAATGTTTTTAAAGAAACTGTTTTCCAAATAAATATTAAAAAAAAAAAACCCTGCTGTGTATTCCTCCTGCTAAGGGTTTTTTACACCTCCTAATCTTTCTCATGAACTCCTACTTTACCATTCAACCCAACTCAGGCATTATTTGTTTCAAAAAGCGAGTTCATATCACACCAGACAAAATTAATTTTGACTCTGTTACTATGAAAATCTGTCATTTATGAGCCTGGTTTTCACTTAAAACTCTGAGGGTTTTGAGAAGAAGAATCATGTCCTTGATCCTTGTATTCCTAGGAACTAGCATAGACTACTATATGCAATAGATCGTAGAACTGCACAGAGGTAGGACTTGTAATGGAGAACCAAGAGAATTAGAATGGGCAAGGAGAACTGGCTTTTAAAAGTTTAAATTTCAAAAGAAATTTTGTATCTTGTCTCCAGTGTGATTAAATTCTTTTTAGTTTTGTTTGTTTGTTTATTTCAGTTATTTGCAGGTCAGAATATCAATATCAATATATATATATATATATATATATATATATATATATATATATATATATATATATATATATAACTTCTGTTTCACAAGTGATATTTTAGTGGCTTGGCTAAGATGTGCAGAAGAGACCGTAAGCCTCTTTCTCTTCCTTGTTTATCAGAATGGGCTAGCAGTCATTGTTTGACAGATGGCAGATCTGTCTCCCTCCTCTTCAGGCACCAGTCTCCTCCATGTATAAACACGGAGGTGCGATAACAGTGCAGAAGAATATTTCAGAGTTAGAGATAACTTTTTAACATTGTTTGGCTTTCCAAGCATAAGCAGTTAAAATTCTTTACTTCACAGAAGTAATTTAGAATCTGCAAACATAGTGGAATGGAAAATATTAATTACTTAACATTTTATTTTGCTTGCCTTGTTATAGTAAGTTATGGTGAGCCAAAGGTTCTTTTCTAAAATAAAATGCAGTAAATAAATGGGTCTACATTTACACTCCTGATTATTTATTGTGTTTCTTGTTTTACGTGAACTAAATGAGATAAGAGAGCCAAGCTCTGAGTCATTTCCTCCTGGGAATGCTGACTACACCCATCACCTTGACCTATTTTATTGTCTTTTGTAGGAATGAAAGGGAAGGAAGGGAAAAATGAGAAGAGCTAGTGCACGTCATACAATGTCTTTGAGTTTCATTGTTCTCTTTGAACAAAATGAGAATTTGGATTAGGTGTTTGTTGTAATGCCTTAAAATTTCAGATTGGTTGGATTTTGAGGAATAGGAAAAGGGGAAAGGGTGGGGACAAGGCTGGGCATTGTGGAGTGGCTTGTGCAGCTCCTTTTCTCTTTGTTCAGTCACTGTGGTGAGAAGCTCCATATGGTTAGTGGTGTCTGATCTTAATAATAACCAAAGCACTTCATTTATTAGGACGCTATAGAGAGCCAAGATAAAGCCCACTACCATTTAGCATGTTTTAGCAATTAACACAGTTAGGGCTTGTGTTAGTAAAGTTTTAACTTAGTCAAAGCTTCTTACAGGAGACATGGTCCAACCTGACTCCAAGTAGTTTTGACAGTAGATGGCATAGCGTCCAAGAGGGATTGTCCCTTACAGAATATTGGCTGATGAGTTAATAAATCCCGATGGCCACTGGAGGGGGCATTTTAGTGTTTGGCTATTGAACATTGTTGTGGTTTATAAACCTGACTTCAGAAAGGTAGCTGTTTCTCTTCCATTTTGATTTGCTGAGGGAACTGAAGAAATTCACAAGTTTGGGTGAAGGGTGCTTTTTATACCATTTTTTTCTCAATTTGCTTTTGGTTTGTTTATGCAACTTCATGACAGAACCTCAGTATTTCAGGCACTTCAGATCTCCTAATGGAAATTGAAATACTGAACCAGAATTACAGATTTGTTCTTTTTAAAAATATATATTCTGTTGATTTCAGAGTGGAAGGGAGAGGGAAAGAGAAATAAAACATCGATGATGTTTCTGCACAATCTCTACTGAGGACTGAGCAGTAATCAAACTATGACCTTCTGATTCATAAGTTGATACTGAACTGGCAGGGCTACACTGTTTATTTTTTGGGACATTTGTCTCTGCTCTAAAAGGAATCATGTGAGCTACCTACCTTTTTGTTTTTTCATACACTTTAAGCCACACATACATTATTATTTTGGTTGTGTGACATTTCATTTAATCAATGCAAACTGAATTTGAATCTTGGCTACTTGGCTATGACAATTATCAGCTGAGTGAACATTAATAGTTATCTGAGCTTCTGCTTTGCTTTCTTTCTGAAGGGGGACAAAAAACATTTTTACTTTAATTATTTTACTCTTTCATTGAAGCTGATTATTAAGTGAAACTATGTATATCCACAATTTGACATGTTGTAAAGTCTTAATAACAGAAAATTAATACCATGTATATTTTTTAAAAGAATAAAACATTTTAAGTTCTAAAATTTATTAGTATATAAATTAAAATAGCATCTTTCCCCCCCAATATTTAAAGACTATGAACAAATGAAAGGAATGGGAGAGACTAAGGTGAATGTTACCTTTGCTTTCTAGTTCTCCATCAGGCATGATAGAAGGCACACCACAACTTCATGCAAACGCTTGGCGAGTTTCTTCCACTTGCTTTGCACCTGTTCATGTTCCTGTGGTGGACCCCTGTAACATTAATCAACAGAACAGTAAGCCTTCTTTCTACTTGTAAATTTAGGGGAATAAATAGTGATTTTAAATTCTGATTATCTTTATTTGGGTAATATCAATGCTATTCTTTATGTATGTTTTTTAATACTATGCCTTTACATACTCCTGTTTATGCAATGTGCGTTATTTTTTTAAAAAGCCCCAGAAAATGACTTTTATTTATTACTTTGCATCCATACATTTACTTATTTTAGGCATTTGAGTTAGATTTTGGTGTGTTCAGAATATTTAAATGCTTAAGGAAAACCTCTGGAAAATCTCTAATAGTGCTGTTAGTCTTGGTTCCATAATGTGACAGCTCATGCAGGTTCTCTTGTTTATTACTATCACATTATGAGCTCCTACTCACAGAATATATTATGGCTTCATAAGTAGGAAACCAGTGAGCCAAGGAAGCTTTGTGCCATCAAGCGTGAGACAATTTGAGATGGTCATGCTCCAGGTTTGCAATTTGCAATGACGGTGCAACTCACAAGCCAAGAATTTTTGGCTGTATTTTTTTAACTAAAGCCACAACAAATCATGTGAATGGCTATTTCACTGCTCATTAAAAAGGCACATTATTACTATTTTTATAAAATAATTTTGTGAAAAAAGTGTGCATGCTTAAATAAATTTAAAATGTTTTAATTTGTTTCTTTAATCATTTTGGCTAGTTTATTATTTTGTGTGTAGTTTTTAAAAAAATTCGCTATTAATATTGGTTGAATACCTCTGTAAAATCAGAATGATTTCTGGCTGTTGTAGTGGTTGTTTGGTAGGATTCTGTTGATTGTCATATGGTCCTTGTTATTAACGTATAGTTTTGGTGTACTGGAAAAAACAACAAAATAATGCTGCTTTTAGTGCTGTCTTTTTACCTCTCCGTTTTCTGAACTTGAAGAAGACTATTAATCTCTTTGGTAATTTTTCCTACCTATAATAATAGGACTAGACTATATATAGTCTTTTGTCTCTATAGATTGAATACTTTCATCTCACTCGCATTTAACAACACTGTCCCCATTTTATGCTTAACTTTCTATTAATAGATCTACTCCTCCTTCAATTAGTTTTATGCAGCTTGTTTCTAACTTTCTCAGTTCCCTCCTTGATATTGCAGCACATTTTTAATTATCTTAATAACATGTAAATGTTGGAGTGTAATTGATAAATTCAGTTTTCCTTAATTACCTCCTTTATTACATTCCATTTTGTTATATACTTTTATCATATCTATCCCTATAGCTCATGTTTCCTCTGATATATATTTTAGATATTATACTCTTCACCTTTGCCATAAATTATTAAAAAAAATCAAATTGGAGATAACATTGGCAATAAGTTCTCCCATGAGTGGACTTCCTTGTTGTTTTGTTGATGGTTTCTTTTGCTTTGCAGAAGCTTTTAATTTTGATGGAGTCCCATTTGTTTATTTTCTTCTTAGTTTCCATTGTACTAGAAGCTTTATCAGTAAAGATATTGCTACAACAAATGTCTGATATTTTGCTGCCTATGGTTTCTTCTAAGATTTTTATGGTTTCCTGTCTTATGTTTGTCCTTTATCCATTTTGAGATCTGAGCATAACCAAAGGGCACGGACAGTAGGGGGGTGAGGGCATGTGCTGGGGGGTGGGAGGGACTGGGGAGAGTTCAATGGGGAGTGGGGGAAGGAGACTCATGTAATACTTTAAACAATAAAGAATTTAAATTAAAAAAAATTCAAATTGGTCAAGTCAGAAAAATTTCCAAAGAAAGGCAAGAAAATAGATAAAAGTCAAAAACTCTAATGTGGATTCTGAAAGATATTTTTTTTCACAAGGATATGTTGAGTCATCCTTTTAATGTCAGTAGGAATATTTTTAAATCCACAAATCCTTAGGGAACACAACAAAAGTCTCATTGACGTACTGCTTTGTTTTGGAGCTCCTGGGGCTGGGGAGTATGCATGCCAACAGCATGCTGTTAGAGTCTAAGTCATTTGTTTTTACATAGATAGTCATAACAATGCAAAAATATAACACTAAGATGATTATTATGTGTGTGCTTCCCCCCCCCCATAATATGTTATTCTAAATACTCAATAAAATAAGTTTAGTATATTTAATTAGTTCAAAAACATTCTGATCTCTGGACAGCTCATCTGCTCTCTTAAAGACAATGACAATTCAAAGATTGATTAATTTTAGCTATGAGGAATCAATGCAACCTGGGTTCACTACATCAAGGAATCACATACTTATTTTTTCTTTTCAGAAAGGTGGGATCTAGATTGTTTGGTCAAACTTGGTTACACCCAAAAAGAATTATATTTGATCAATCAGTTATTCTCAAGGGAAAAGTCAACAAATTTTAAGAGCTAATTACACAAACTCCCTCCCCCCTCTCCTGCCACCCAAAAAGCCTGGTAGTTATATCTTATAGCCTTTAGTATATGTTTCAGTCCCTAATTTCTATTCATTACTCATTTATTCACGAATTCATAGATTCACTTATCAGACATGGTGTTTTGTGCCTTGTGCAGACATTATGTGCAATGACTTTATGGGCATCTGCCACATTACCATTCACTTCAGAGACTCTATTGGAATGAGACGATTCCCAAACTTTCCTGGATAATTGTGTATTCCAGCGAGTTGCCATAACATCCACAACATGCAGTGTTTGGATGTCTGGAGATAAACTTCCCACTACTCACCAATTCTTTACAGTAGAATTGGGGTGATTTCCTAAAATGATTCTCAGGCCATGGGGTGATTGAGGCTATCTACCCTTCTGTTACTCATGTTATTGAGGTAAAACAACTTTTCCCCCCTAAAATATTATTGAATATAGTGCTGTCACCAATACTACCAAAAGTAAAAACGAACCCCCCCCCCCAAAAAAAAAATCCCACAAAACAGTGTAAGCTGAAAATATTGGCTCTTCTTATGTTCAAAACAGTGCATTTCTAGGAAAGCAAGAATCTTGGCTAGTTCTGGAACTTGATACTTAAGGTTAAGGATCCCAACTGGTAAATGAGGTGCTAATGAGATTCTTTGTCTGTTAGTTGGCTACGCAGCGCACTGTGATGTCATCCACCAGGAGCTCTTTGCTCCTTGCCACTTCTACATCAGCCCTGGGCTGTACTACCAGCTGTGCCGCCACGATGCCTGCAAGTGTGGGAGTGTCTGCCTATGCAATGCTCTCGCCCACTATGCCTACCTCTGTGGCCAGCGGGGCATCACCATTGACTTCAGAGCTCAGGTTTCCTTCTGTGGTGAGTATAATGGCAACAGCGCAGATACAGACAATCAGGAAACCCTTTAGAGGTTTTTACACTTAGAATTACTGCTTTCATTTTTAAGTGCAGAGTTAATATGGCTTAGGTTATTTGAAATATTACAATGTACAAACATAAAAATGAAAGAAGTACTTTGTTGCTTAAAATTGAAGCTATGTTAGATAAGATCAATAACTTTTGACTATTTTTTGTGATAAGCAGAGTATAATTATGGTTTGAAATATGTAACAGAAATAACTGGAAACACTCGAAAAAAGTCATAAAAAGGTCATATCTAAATGTGGAAAAGCATTATATGTGTGCTATAGAGACACAGCTGATTTGTAGTTAAATAGGCAAGCTATGCAACAGCCATGTATTATCTCAAGTTCTGGGCGTCTAGTCCTCATGGTTATGGTGTCTGCTGTTCTCATGCATGGTAGATTGCTTCCTTTTCTGTTTGTTCTATAATTTTTTATGAGCTAATCTTTGTTAGGGCTCTGCCTCTCTCCATTAGAATCCTCTGTGACCTGGATTTCAAGAGCATCACTTACTCTACTTCTCCTCTGGGTTCACACAGCCTTTTTCTATAACTCCAAAGGCTTCTGGGCCAGTGTTTGTTTTTTTTTTTTTAAATTTATATATATATAAATAAAACCTGATTTTGAGAGAGAGAGGGCGAGAGAGGTAAAGAGAGAGAAGCACCTATGTGAGAGTGCAACATTGATTGGCTGTCTCCTGTATGCCATCTACTGGGAATTGAACCGTAAACAGGGGCATGTGCCCTTGGCTGGGAATCGAAGCCCACCCATGTAAGTAAGCCCAGCCAACTGAGACACATCAGCCAGGGCTTATTAGCCAGTTTTGATGTTATTTTTCCTAGCTTGGGCTTTCTGAGAACAATAACGTAAAAATGAAAGAAACGTAAGTTTATATCAATAGAACAAACCTGTTTAGGATGTATATCTGGGATTTATATTTTTTAGAGGAGGCTTTATTTCATCACAGATCCCCAGAATTACAGCTGCTTTCCTAGCATCTTCCTTTTTTAAGAGCCAATTTTAAGTTCAGAAGTTGGCAAACCACACCCTTGGTCCTCCTGGGTTTTTGTAAAGAGCTACAAGGCCACAGCTGAGTAGTGTGTGTCACACAGCTGAGGAGACTTTGTGTCCTGCAAAGCTGAAACTATTTACTGTTTGGGCCTTTACAGAAAGTTTGCTGGCCTCTGTTGTAGTGCATCCTTGCAACTGAGGATGGAGTGATTTTGAGGGTCCAAGTGAAAGGTCTCCCAATTCTTGGTCTCATAAAGACTAGTTTTATTTTCTACTAGAGGCCCCATGCAAAGATTCATGCACCACTGGAGTCCCTCAGCCTGGTCTGTACCCTTTCTCAATCCAGGACCCCTAGGGGATGTCAGATTGCCAGTTTCAGCCTGATCCCTGCAGGGCTCAATCCCCTCAACTGGGCTTCGCTGCACCAGCCTTGGGAGCACACTGACCACCAGAGGGCAGCTCCTGCATTGAGCATCTGCCCCCTGGTAATCAGTGTGCGTCATAGCGACTGGTCTTTCTGTTGTTCGGTCGATTTGCATATTAGGGTTTTATTATACAAGATTCCACATGAGTTTAGACCAATAGATTGATCCTCCTCTCTTCCATTCAAGTTTTGGATATTGTTTCCATCTTCATTTCTGGCATAGAGGGATGTTATTCACTCCCCACCCCCAATTTTTCTTACAAGATCACTTATATATTTTACATAATTTCAATTATTTTTTTATACAGGATTTTCTGAGTATTTTTTTAGATTATTTTAGGTTGCCTATTATAATCAATTCAGTTTGGTCTAGGGAGAAATTGGAATGGTTTAGAAAAAGTATGAACATGATTAAGAAAGCAAAAGTTAAGAGCTATGCAACACTGATCAATAAAGTCAAGTTTTGTCTTATTTGTAGAAGACTAAGAGTTTGCTTAATATATAAAGAAGACATTGTAAACATAGCAATCAATAGAGTTGAAGTTTAAGGACAGGAAGTTTATTCAGACATAGAAAATACCTTAAATAATTAAAAAACAACAACTATTGTACAAGCTATTAAAGAATATTATGGAACGTCTCACAAATATTTCAGCCCTGGTCTGGTGGCTCATTTGATGGAGTGTTGTCCTGTACACCAAGAGGTTGGGATGTTTCTCCCATTGATGTTTCTCTCTCTCTCTCTCTCTCTCTCTCTCTCTCTCTCTCTCTCTCTCTCTCTCTCCCTCCCTCCCTCCCTCCATTCATCCATTCATCTCTCAATTAATAACATATCCTCAGGTGAAGATAAAACAAATTTTAAAATAGAAATTTCATTTTTCTCTTCTACTTCCATTGAGGCAAAGATTGTAACTAATAATTTATGTTGTAGGATTCTGTAGTGTTCTGGGTTTATTGAGGTCTGATATATATATATTTTTTTATGATTTACATCTGTCAAAGACCTGTAGTTCAGCACAAAACACTTCTGTCTCTGTGGAGATCTCTCTCTCAGCTGACGCTGCTCTGTCCTCAGGATTGGTGTGCCAGGAAGGCATGCAGTACCATCACTGCTCCTCCTTCTGCCGCCGCTCTTGTGTTGCTCTCTCTTCCCTGGAGCAGTGCAATGACGACTGTGCTGAAGGCTGCAACTGTCCTGAGGGCAAATACTATGAAGATACCCTTCACTTTTGTGTGCCCATGTAAGTCACAGAAATGGTCATGGTATCCAATTTTCCATCTCTTTTCCTTTTATGCCTGAAATGAGCTTTCATGCTTATCTCTTCTTTTTTAATCTAATTGACCTAACACCATTTAGTGAAAAAAAGAAAGAAAAGAATTTTCTCCACTATTGAACAGTCACTTTTTCCATGAAACAAGTGTGCATATATGCAAAGATCTGCTTGTGAGTTGTTTCTTTAATATTTCCTAATGTCTTTACTTTATTTCTTTATTTTTAACCCTGCGCTTGTTCACAAACAGCTGTAGGAAGAGCCAAGGAAGCTGATGGCTAACCCTGGGGTATATTTCTCCTTATTTTTATCATATCAAAGTTAATGAGAAGGCGAATGTATCACGGTCAGGTGGCAAGTTTCAGTAGCAGCACTGCAATGTCTGTCAGCAACCAGAAGTTTCTCCAATCTTGCCTGTGATAAGGACTTCTGTCTTATAGTAGGGTTAAATGGCATGCCTAAGTCCTGGACTCGTCACTGCAGAAAAGAGTGGAATTCATGGCTAGGTTATGTTTCTTTGAGGTGCATGTAGGGACTTTTTTTTGTGACTAACACGACACAGTTTGTATTGTGACTAACCCAGTCCAGACTTTTATTTTAGAAAACAAAATCTGAAGCTTCTCATTTTAATGGTTTCTGCCATTTGTAGTCTCATTGAATGAAGCCATTTTTAGAGTGTGCTTTCAAATGACCAATACAGTGCATAGGATCTGCTTGAATTTTACTGTTTTCTAAAATCTATACCTTATATCCTATTTCATTAATTTAACCTTTTGTTTTTTCTTATAGATTTCACTGTCGGTGTCATTATAGGGGCAGCGTTTATCAACCTGGAGAGCTTATCCCAACACCCTCCGGCTTATGGTAGATTTCAGTGATGGTGATTGTACTTGATAAATAACACATGCTGATGTAATTTCTTAACCCAAACCATAAATTGAAATATGATTTCTGTAACTTAAAAATGTAGACAACCCTAACATAATCCTTAAAACCAAATATCTATTCCATTGCAACATGGGATGCCTGAGTCTCCTAGTCATAACTGCAGGAAAGGGTGGCATTGAAGTGCCACGCAGCAGGATGGAAGCCTTCTGATCAGTTTGGGTTTTTATATGGAAGTTAGGAGTGAGGTGGGTGTCAAACAATGCAAGTTACTGGGGGTGAGGGGTTCATTTTTGTTTTATCCAATTACTTAAAAAAAAAAAAAAAAAGCAATTTTAACATGGACTGAACCAGGTCACATGCTGGAGTCTCCCTAGGAACATTGATGGGAACGCTGGTGAGATAATACTCATCACGAGGATAACACTCCCTGGGGCTGGAACCTGGCTGTTACAAATGCAGACAAATCCATGCAGCAGTTTAAATTGATCTACATCCAACTCTTCCTTTTTCAGTTGCACCATAGGTGTCAACAGATGATAACAGACCGTAGGTAATAGTAAAAAGAATGACATCTCATCATTACTAGTACCTTCTGTAGACCTGGCAGCATTATCTATTATTAAAACACTCATCCCTGTGACCCTAAAAGACAAGTACTGCTGCTGTGCCCCAAGTTTACAGGTGATAAAATGAGGCCCAGGCAGGCAAGCAACTTGGGAACAAAGCCAAGATTCAAGCCCAGGCGATGTGGTGCTGTGGTGATTTTTTTTTTTTTTTTTTTTTTTTACTTTTCCTGCTTTGCTCAGTAGCTTATTTCATATTCATGGCAGTATCCTGTTTATGCTCAATTTACCTTTAGTGTTATCTCCATCTTTCTTCCTTCCACCCTTCAATCAAGATACAAAGGCAATCGGTTCTTAGATCTTTCTCCAGTAGGTTGTACTAATAGCCACAGTCTCCCAAGCCAGAAATCTGGGAGCCATGTTTTGACTGCTACCTCCTGCTCAATATCCCCAGCCAATAAACCGCTAATGACTGGAGTTTATTTTCTGCAAATAGTAGAAATCTCCCTTTTTTCCATTGCCACTGCCTCAACAGCGTCTCTTCTTGGTCTTCTTGCCTCTAGTCTTGCCCCCTTCATTTTGCCAAGGTGGTATATCTCTCCTGAATTTAACATAATTAAATTTATTTTAGTAAATTGGCAAAAAATGAAGGAATCGTTTATCCTCAATGAGAAAAGAAAATCCCATTGTAGTGCAGTGACCTCATTTGCCATTCTTCTAAAAAAAAAAAAAAAAATGTCCCAGAATGAGTATGATATGGTAAAGCTGGCTCTGTGATCTGAGATCCGTCTGTCTCAGTTCCTCTCGGCCATTCACAATGTGAGCGAATCACACCTCTGAGCGTCATCCTGTTGTTAGACGACTATAAGCATATTTTTCATGTGGCATGGCTTAGTCAGCTTCTTCTTGTGGGCTCAGACATAGAACACATGATCTGGTCCAAAGCTGGCGGAAAAACTGTTGATGGTGGAGTTACTGAGAACTGATTTGTTATTCCCCATCATGATAGCTTTTTAAAAGAGCTTCAGAATTAACTTGGCCTGTATTGGGTTTTTGTTTTAGGCCCTGACTTTAGAACTTAAGTTGCAAGGAAGCTGTAACTTAATTCTGTCATCAGTGCTACTGCCAGAATGATTTTTCTAGAATTGAGACCAACCATATCACTTCTCTGGTTAAGGTCAATAGTCTACCTCGGGGACAAAGTCTGAGTGTCTGAATAAGAGCTGGACTTTGCCTCTTTGTCATCTGCACCTCCTGCCACTTCCTGCATTCCACTTTTTTTTTTTTTTTTTTTTTTTTACATAGAACACTGCTCTAACCCTGTGTGGATTTGTACCACATTCCAACTGAGAATTATGGCCTTTACTTGAGTAAAGATTATGAATTTTGGTCTTTGTATCTTCCATGGTTATTACAGTGACTTATACATGTGTTTGATAAAAGTGTTAATTGAAAGAATTCTCTTCAAATTGGCCAATAACTTAATTGTAGAAAAATTTAAATGGGAAAGAATAACATTTGTATATATATTCAATCAATTCTTACCCATTATTGATGTAATTTCTTAATTATTGATGTAAAGCAACCCATTATATGTTGCTTGTGAAATACAAAAAAAGAATAGATTTGGATTTGTAACATTTGTTTACTTTTACTAGCCAATGTTCAAATGGGACTGTGAAATGTGATGAGCCAGCACCGCCCTCTACTGGTAAGATCTAGATAATGTATTTTCCCTGAGGAGATTGCAGCTCTAGTACTGCCCCAACTTTTCTGGCAGAAGTTTTTACCCCATCACACCTGTCCTTGGCCAATTTTCATGAATATAGCCTTGGGAATGTTTCTCAACATGGTGCTTCAGTGCTTTCAAACTTTTTTCACACTAGAAATTATAATATATGTAGGACAGTCTGGCTTGAACATACAAGGTTTAGAGGAAAAGGTCATCAAACCAGGGGTTCTGCCTACCCCAGAATTAAACCAGGCGCCCAAAAGGATTTAGGAATATGTGTCTTGATACCTGTTGTAGCCTACTTGTGCCATAGAAGCTGTGAAACTACAGTAGACCAGCATTTCTCAGACACTAATGTGCACACGATTACCTCGGGATCTTGTTAAAGCGCCGATTCGAATTCAGCAGGTCAGGGATGATGCCCGAGATTCTATCTTTCTGGGAAAGGTGGATGTCATGCCATTGCCACAGGCTCCTGGGCTACATTATATCGATAAATAACAAGGCTCTAGGATTAATAGCTATCCCTTTAAAAATGGCATGCAAAATGATATCTACTCCTATGTCTCGTTAGAATGCCACTTTACAATTGTATATCATTCCCGAAGATCCTAGAGAGTTAGGGGATGCTATATTATTTATTTTTACCATAAAAAAGACATAAAATTTTTAATCACTGTGGGGAAATTCTAGGCAAATAATAAAGAACACCACTTTCACTGATTTTAGTGGACAGAAAGAGTGCAGGCTGTGAGCTATTCTTTCGTTATTTCCATGGTCATGTATATCTCTCTCTATATATAAACCTAATATGCAATGTGTCCCCTTGGGAGATCGACTGACTGGGAGTTCAATTCCTGGCTATGACGTGCACTGACCATTAGGAGGTGGTGCAGAATGAAGACCCCAGTGGCAGTTGGCAGCTAGGGAAGGAAGGTCCCAACCAGCAGCTGCTAGGGATCCTACCTGTGCACGAATTTCGTGCACTAGGCCTCTAGTATTATTATGAATTAGCTTTTAATTATATGCCCTGGATTTACTTTATAAGGATTAAGAGTACCCAGGGCTTCTTCTAGGCTTTGCTCATGGACCACACACATGTTCCGTAGCTTCTGGGCCACCCTGCCTTGCCCCCTTTGCTTCAAAAGGACTCAGAGTTAAAGAAGGGGATATCCAGGCCAGATTTCTTATGGAAAAATCCACAAGATGTGATCTTTTTGGCCCCTAATAAAGGACCTTTTTAATCCCTCTGATCCCAAATGCTTTTTGGAAGAATTTGTAGTTCCTAGCCTACCCATAATTATGTCTACTTCTGTACTTCCACTATATAGTGAGGACTGATATTAGTAAGGACTCGGAGATGAAGCAAGACCTAAAAGAATCATGTATTGTCAACACAAAGACTTATAAAATTTAATTGCTATAAAAAAATTGCTATTCCTCAAAAGTTTGGATTAATCAAAATGCCCTGCTTCTTGACTTCATAATGTTATATACTAGCTGTTTAGTTATCGCATTATGGAAGGAAGCTATGGTTTTGAAACTCAAAAAAGGTTTTGGAAATTTAGATGTTTATAAAGGGAATCTGGCTAAAGAATGTTTGTAAACTCACCAACCAAACTTTACAGAGTAAAAGAATGATGTAATAGTAACTGGTAAAATATTTTATGGTCACTTGTGTTTTGATACAATGCACTTCAATATGATTATCTGTCTATAGAGTGAATATAAACTTAAGGGTATTTTGTCTGTGCCTTGTCCCTGAAGTTCATGCCTGCCCCGAGGGAAAAGTGTATTTCAACTGCAGGTTTCCTGATCCCGAGTTGCCAGCCGGTGGAGTAAATTGTGAGATTACATGTGCAAACCTGGCCATGAACTTCACTTGCGCCCCATCTTCACCCTGCATAAGTGGCTGTGTTTGTGCTCCAGGGTAAGCCTCTTTTTCTTGATAATTGAGAACATTCAAGTTTTAATTTTTTAAAAAAATCACAAGAACACTTAAAACCATAATTTACAAAAATAGCTAAAATTGCCTGGTTGACTGGTGGTTAACTAGTTGGTAACTAGAAGATTATTGTAATCAGGATTTTACATATCACATATGTTTTCTGTGAGATAATACATATTATACATTAATATAACATATCTTACATAATAAAAGCATAATATGCACATTGATCAAATAGCCTAATAGCAGAATGATCGTTTTGAATCATGCTGTGACACCAACTGGCACCAGATCAGCCAAGGCGGGTGCTATGCGATTGGACAGGGGCCTGACCATTGCCCTATGATCGCCCGCCGAGAGAGGCCCATGCAGCTGGCCTGTGGGGTGATCAATCATGGGGCTCCATGATCACCTCAAAGAGGAAGATCCAGGCCACTGACCAGTGTGCTGCAGCGGCTGGGCAGGGCCTCCCTCTATGAGGGAGGCCTCGGGTGCAGGAGGGAAATCAGTGCCAGCAGCCAGGGGAAGAAAGGCCTACTCTTGCATGAATTTTGTGCATCAGGCTTCTAGTGACTAAATAATGTCACATGTTAAGTGTACAATATTGTTAAAGAAATAGAGTGTGTACAGTATTATTCAAGGACTGAAATATTGATACAACATTAATTAATTAACACAATATTAAAATAATTCAATGTCATTAAAGTAATACAGTGAATTAATTAGAGAACTAAATTTAGGATGGACTTAACATTGCCTGATTCAACTGCAATTTTGGAAAATTAATAGTGAACCACTCTACATTGATTACATTTTAGTGTATATCATTTTATATTTTTTGGTGCTATTACTGTTGATATTAAGTTATAATGATGATGCCAACTGCTTTATCTAATGGATGTTACAGAAAATAGGGCAGTGGGTAACAGTGGGAACTCTGGCTCAGTTACACTGGAGTTCAAATCCCAACTCTGCTGATGTAGGCTGAGTGGTTTTCTGCAAGTTTCCTTAAAATCTCAATTAGGCATTGTATCATGTGCCTTTGTGTGCCTGTTTGCATGCGTGTGTGTGTGGGGGGGGTGGGGGTGGGTGTACACTCAATAAATAGGTTTCACAATTTTATGGCAGCATAATCTACTCTTTTTAAAAAAATATATTTTATTGATTTTTTACAGAGAGGAAGAGAAAGTGACAGAGAGCTAGAAACATCGATGAGAGAGAATCACTGATCAGCTGCCTCTTGCATACCCCATACTGGGGATGTGCCCGCAACCAAGGTACATTCCCTTGACTGGAATCAAACCTGGGACTCTTCAGTCCGCAGGCCTATGCTCTATCCACTGAGTCAAACCAGTTTCGGCAGCATAATCTACTCTTATCTTTGTAAATTTCCTTCAGTAGCAGGAATGCATAACACTTGTGAACCCAGGGGCTATTCGCTTTCTGGCAGTTGCATTTACAATATGGCCTCCCTGGCCTTTCTCTTCTCCTAATGAATAGAGGCAGTGCTCAGACAGAGTACCACCTAAAGCAAATAGGTCAGTTATTCTTCCTCGATGAGCATATTCACACAAAGCATCCCTGGGCTCAGTTCTTAGAAACCGGTAGCAAAGAAGAGAGGGGTTTTGTGGTCAGCTTCCCAGGAGAGTCGCATTTGTCTAAATGCTACCTTTCTAGACTAGGTTGAAGAGCCACATAACCTGGGGCTGTGCCAAGCTCTTTAGAAGGAAGGACACATGTGGAGGCTGAAATAAAAACAGGCAGAAACCAGGCCATGGAGCAGCTGAATAAGGAAGACCTTTTAGTAAAAAGAACAGAAAAATACAACCTTTATTATGATAAAATAATTGAGGCTTACATCACTGCTTACTTACTTGATTTGATTATGACTATTGCAGATACATGGCTGATTAGATAAAGCTACCTCCTAATTTTGTTTCATATGCTTGTGGTTGATGCTATTATTTTAAAAGTATCTATTTGCTGTCACTTTTCACTTTCAGTTCAACAATGACTTATATACTTGCTGGTCAAATCTCATTACAAAAACTTAAAGAAATGTATTGAATAAATATAGTTGATATTGACTAAGAGGCCTCTGACTGATTTGGAAATAATTTTGCTATTCAGGACTTTCTATTACAAAGTTGTTCATGGTAATATGATTTGGATTGTCTTCTATATGACACTGGTTGCCTTATTTTAGGACAATAAATCTATAACTTGTTTTCATGAAGTTCCTGATAGTGCCAGTGATTCAGCCTATATAATAAAAGCCTAATATGCTAAGTGTTCAGTCATCCCATTGTCCATTAAACCAATCAAAGCCTAATATGCTAATGGTATGCTAAGGCCACTCAACTGCTCGCTATGATGTGCACTGATCACCAGGAGGCAGACAGTTGACCAGTTGACCAGTTGCTATGATGTGTACTGTCCACCAGGGGGGTAGATGCTCAATGCAGGAGTATCTTCACCTTCATGGCAGCACTAAGGATGTCTGACTGATGGCTTAGCCTGCGCCCCATGGGCCTAAAAGTTTATAGGCCTCTAGTTGACTATAAAAGGACTTAGAAGTTTAGAAGTCACTATGGATTAAAGAAATGCACAGTAATATAGTGGAAAGAATTACATAGAATTGGGGTTCAAATGTTGGTCCTCATTATTAAATGAAATGTCAGAACAAATTACTTAACCACTTACAGCCTCAACTTCCTCTTTTAAAAATAGGTGTAATAATATCTACTTCATGGATGTAGCACACCAGTTTTGATTAGGTATAAAAAAAACCTCATCAGTTATCAGCATAAGCACTTGCAGTCACTCACAAAAGAAGCTCTTGATTATTTCCTCTGTTTCATAACAAAAAAATGTTATATATCTTATATAATAATTCACTATTTTATCAAAATTGTTATACCAGACTCTTTCTCTTAATCAGTAAATATTAAAATAAGGGCCCTCACTATCTCTTTAAATTTTTTTTCCAGAATAACTCATTTTACCAATAAATTTTGGTTTTTGTCTCCCTTTTATTATATTAAATGATAGCAAAGGGTCAAAATTACTGCATCCAATCATTTGCCTGGCATTTACTTCCTATTGTGATATGCGCGATACTGTATGGAAAGAAGTGGAGGGAGATAAGGACAGGGGTCAACCTTTCGAGAGGCCAGCTAGAACATGCCTGTGACAAATGTAATGAATAGAGATGGTTGTGAATGTGATGAGATTACTGATTACTTCGAAAACTGAAATTAGTAGTTTAAACTACATAGTATTTACTCTTCTTTTGGAAGAATGGCGGAGCATCGAGGGAAGTGTTATATTCCTGAAAGCTGTCCATGCATCTGGAAAGACTGGGAGTACCTCTCAGGAGAAGTGATTGCTACACCATGTTATACCTGGTAATCAGGTTCATTTATTTGACAAAAACATCCTAAGCAATTGTATTAGTTTCGACCATCTTATATTTACTTAAGGTGACTGACTTCAACAAAAACAAATCAAGCCTGAGTAAATAAGATTTTAAAGTCATTTGTGCATTGATAGAGAGCTACTGTCTCTAGGGAATCATACCATTATTTTTATTCATATTTGTTTCACACATTAGAAAAGTGTAAAATATGACAATATGAAAATGTAATGAGAAAAGAATATCTCAAGGTTATAAGAAAGTGATAAAAATTCCAAAAAGGAGTTCACATTTATGGAAGGTTTTATTTTTGGAAACAAGCCTAAAGAAAACCATGAAATTGAAATATAATTTTCTTAAAATGCAGATAAAGATTCTAAACTCATGAACAAAATCACACTTAATATATTAAATAGACTCAAGTATCAAAGATGGCATTGTGGTCTTTTGGCTACCAGCATGCTTATGTTCAATTTTTCATTCCAACATCTGTTTTCATTATAACCCGGGCACAATTTCTGGGATTGATTGTGGCGTCTGATATTTTATTTAAACAAAGTGGTAAATATATGTCTAATTAGAGTAATGTTATCAGAACAAATTGGCAATATTTATAAGGGCTATTGGCTCAGTGATTGCTCTTTAATGCAAACCTTCCAATGTTTATGCTACTTGAAAAAATTAATTAGAGCCATATTTCTTACAATGGGGACTTCTGTTATTTTCTAATAGTGTTTGTCGACGAGGAATGTTCAATTGCACATACTATCCATGTCCAGCAGTGTGTACAATATATGGGGATCGGCATTATCATTCTTTTGATGGACTGGAATATGACTATATTGGTGATTGCCAGGTATTTTTGATAAAGGTATGTCACAATTACTTATACTTTTATTTGCAATTATGTAAAGGCAATGTAAAAAAACAAGTATGCAGGGCCATGGTATATCAAATCCGTACATCATTAATATAATTTATAAAAGTAAGCAATTTAATTATAATTTCCTTGGCTCATTCTAAAGTTTTACTATTTACTAGAGGCCCAGTGCACAAAATTCATGCACTGGGGGAGTCTTCTCAACCCAGCCTGCACCCTCTCCAACCTGGGACCCCTTGGGGGATATCCCCAGGATCGGGCCTAAACCAGCAGTTGGACATCCCTCTCACAATCCAGAACCACTGGCTCCTAAATGCTCACCTGCCTGCCTGCCTGCCTAAATGTCCCTAACTGCCCCCCCCCCCGCCTGCTTGCTTGCCCCATCTGCTCCCCCACCCCCCCCCGCAGGCCTGGAAGCCCCTTACTTTCCCTCTCTGCTAGCCTGGTCATCCCTAACTTCCCCTTCCCACTGGCCTGCTCCCCTGTGCTGGCCCAGTTGCCTCCAACTGCCCCTCTCTGCCAGCCTAGTTGCCTTTAACTGCCCCCCTTCCTACCTGGTCACCCCTTACTGCCCCTCCCCCTGCCAGCCTGGTTGCCCCCAACTACTCTCCTGCTGGCCTGGTCACCCCCAAAAGCCCTCCCTCGCAGCCTGGTCACCCCATGCAGCCTACTATTTGGTCATTACTTTTACTGTAACAGCATCCTGGACAATTTGCATATTCCTCTGTTATTAGTATAGATAAATGATGAGCCAATTCTGAAATTTTCTGTGCCCCTGTTATCTTATTTGTAAAATGAAGATAATAATTAGACCTATTCCCAGGGGTAGTTCTTAGAATTAATTGAACTATGCAAGGCTCTCAGATAGTGCTTGATATATAGTTACTGTACAATACATGTCAACTGCTTGATTTTTACTGACTTAATTGGGTGAATACAAAAATAAGACTTTAAATCATGTATTGGACTATGATTTATCATTGTAGCATTCAAAAGGCATTATTCTCAATTCTAGACATGCTATTTTGATAAGTTTTGGTAATCCCTAGGCTTTGTATATCTGAAAAATCCTTCAAATTTCTCATATGTTTAATGCATTTGGATTTTCTATATACCTAAATTTTATTTACATATCACTGATCAAAGAATTAAACTTCTAAATCCAAAAGCTAAGCTTTAGAAAAAAATAAACAAAATAACAGATTTCCTTCAGCAAAGTTACCTTTTTTTAAAAAAAACAACACATTTTATTAATTTTTTACAGAGAGGAAGAGAGAGGGATGGAGATTTAGAAACATCAATGAGAGAGAATCATCGATCAGCTGCCTCTTGCACACCCCCTACTGGGGATGTGCCCACAACCAAGGTACATGCCCTTGACCGGAATCGAACCTGGGACCTTCCAGACCACAGGCCGACGCTCTATCCACTGAGCCATACCAGTTTTGGCAGCAAAGTTACCTTTAAATGCATGTTTCCCCCCGCAAGACTATCTTGTTATTAGTGGTTTGTGTGCGATACTGCTCTTTAAGCATATGTCAAGAAAGTAGACACATTCCAATTTTGTATTAATTCAATTAAATAAGGAAACAAACTAAAATCTATAGCCTTCTAAATTTGAGCAAAGCTCCTGCTTATGGTTTAAGTCACTGAATTTTCTTTTTGGTAAAATTCTTGGCTTCCTTTATGGACAATGTTATGTTTCTTAAAGAGTTAATCCATGGGAACGGATTTGGCAGATAATTATAGATGATGACAACTTGCAGAAATGAGTTTTGTGTTGTTTCAATTGTTTTTGGAGTATAAGGAAGACACCATGATGCATATACATCAATAAGTATTTGTCCTCTTAGTGAACAATTCTACAATGGAATTTTTTCATCCCCTATCATTTAGGTTGTAAGTGGAGAAGCTTAGGGATGTAGATAACACTTTAGAAATTTGGATACATAAACTGATACCTCAGCCAGACTCATTTGGTAGCAAACCCTCATTTCTCTTGCTACTTAGGTGCCTCTGACATTTCTTTAAGTGTCTTCCTCCTTTGACCTTTTGGATATTATACCATTTGAGTCCTGTAATGGCTCTTTTGGTTTCTTCTTTGTGTCTTTGTTGCCTTTTCTTCTTCCTGACCCTAAGTGACGGACTTGGATCCTTCAGGGAAAGAACCAAGTCTTAGTCATCGATTTACCAGCTCAGACCACTATGTTGGGAACATAGTTGTTCAATGAATTTTGATTGAACTAGGTGTCTTTTTCTTTTTGGCAATCTGTCCTTTTCTCCTAATGCTTGGTGTGTTCACCCACAATCTTAACCATCCTATAGGCTGAAGAGTTCCAAATCAACATGTACAACTCTAACCCTCAACTTCTAGGCTGGCTTTCTGAATCCATTTCATCCTCACAATAACATCTTTTTTTTTCCTTTTTTTCTTTTTTTTTTTTTTCTTTTCATTCTGGGGATTGACCACCCACAACATAGGTATGTGTCCTGACCAGGGATAAAATCTGACTTTTCGGTGCGCGGAATGACACTCCAACCAACTGAAACACATTGGCCAGGGCTATGTTACACTTCTTTTGGGTTCTTCATAGGAGCTAACATGATTATGGTGGTAAGTCTCTACTAGAGGGAGAAACCACAAGCTTAATTAGTAATCTAATATTTGCTATAAATGGATATACGTGCCTTCACCATGAAGTATGTAGAGCAGTACTTTTTAAACTTTAGTATCCATGCACATCATCTGAAGATTCTGTAAAATATGGATCCTGAGTCCATGGATTTGGAGCAGGATCTTGGATCCTGCAATTTTTAGCAAGCTATCACAACGTCACATGTCCAAGGTCTACTCTTTGAGTAGCAAGGATGTAGAGCACTTTCTTCTTTAAGAAAGAGATTTTAATTACTTTTGAAATTTTCTTCTTATTCTGAATAGTAAAATTTAAGTCACATCTGGGAAAAAGGAAGTATTATTAACAATATCATGTCAACCATAACATGTTTCCATTGGACATTTCATTAATGGTAGTTAAAGGTGCTTTTAAAAATATCATTTTAAGTAGTAAAACAAAAATTTTGCCAAACTTCATTTTCATTTGTATACAGAAAATTTTGTTTTAAAGTATTTACTAAAACTATTTAAAACTGTATTCACATATCGCTATGTTTGCAAACATTTTTCATTTTGTGACAACAATCCATGCTTATTCATTAGCATTTTGTTCAGTTAACAAATGTTATGGCCTATTTAATGCTAACAAAGACATTCCTATTCTATATACTCTATATTTGAACATATTTCTCCAAGAAAATTCTGAAGTTTTGAAGACAGGAACCATGCCTTACATTTATTTTTTCTCCCCAAATAATTTAGCAAAATGCTGGGTGTTTGGTGAACTCTTTTAATAACTACTTATTTGATCTGTATGTTCTGCCTGGCTTTTTCTTAATCCTTCATTTGCCTTCACAATAATTGTAGTATTTACCACTATTATTTTCAAATAGTGATTGTTCATAAAGTCCTTTAAAATACTCTCCTGGAAAAATAAAAGTGTATCTTTATGTTTGATGCTACCTGATTACAGCAGTTTCTTTTTATTAATGCTGTAATAGAACAGTACCATTCCATTTAGCGGGCAAGATATACTAAGGTTTAGCTTTTAGGCTTTAGAAACTTGATTTCTTATCATCACTTTAACCTGCCATTATATTCTTCTATTAAAATGAATACATCATGTTCAACTTTAAATTTTAATAAGGTTTGACTGCCTGTATATGAGAAGATATGTCACAGGAAATATTCTTCTAATCTTTCAGTAAGTAATGAAATTTGAATCTTTAATTTCTGAATTAAAATTTATGTAGTAAATTTAGGGTTCATGCAATAAGATTAAGATATGAAAAATATTAAAACTATATTTTCAGTTTCTAGAATTATATGTGCCTTTCTGCTTGTCAAGCAGAAATGTTTTTTTCTTTCTTTTTTTTTTTAAATAACATTCTTTAAGAAAGAAAGTATGAAAAGAAATAAAAAATAAAAATAAGCAAAAAAAGAAAGTATGATTACAAACAACAGGCTTTAGAACTTAACTTTTAATTTAATTTGGTAATAAAAACTTACTATTAATAATTAATTATAATTACACAATTGAATTATTTATTATGTTATGCATAACCCATGGACACAGACAATAGTGTGGTAAAGCCTGGGGTGGGAGGCGGGTGGACTAGAAGAGGTCAATGGGAGGAAAAGGGCACATATGTAATACTTTCAACAATAAAGATTTAATTAAAAAACAACATAAACACCAATCCTTTGGATGGGGATTCACTGTGGTTTTCCTCCCATGAACATGCCCCTGCCTTTCCCTTTCTTTTTCTCTCCTCTTCTGCTTTTTCAGTGGCAAGAGTCATTCTGTGAATAGCAGATTTAATTATTTCTTACCAAGCAGCTCTCTTTCCTACTTGTCATGATTATAGATTCCAGGCTTTATCTTTGTTGTTTGTAACACATTTTTATCTGGTGAAACTCATCATTTATTTCTTTGGACCCTGTGGGCAGTTGGACTTTTAAAAATTAATACTTTCGCATTCGTGCTGGTGTGGCTCAGAGTCTGATCACTGACCCATGAACCAGAGGTCACGGTTTGATTCCCAGTTAGGGTATATGCCTGGGTTGTGGGCTTGATCCCCAATAGGGGATGTGCAGGAGGCAGCTGATCCATGATTCTCTCTCATGATCAATATTTCTATCTCTCTTTCCTTTCCCTTCCTCTCTCTGAAATCAATAAAAACATATTTATTTTATTTTATTTTATTATTTTATTTTATTTTTACAGAGAGGAAAAGAGAGGGATAGAGAGTTAGAAACATTAGTGAGCGAGAATCATCGATCAGCTGCCTCTTGCACACCCACTACTGGGGATGTGCCCGCAACCAAGGTACATGCCCTTGGCCGAAATCGAACCTGGGACCCTTGAGTCCGCAAG